TTAGATTTTTGAATATTTAAGTTTGACAAAAATCTTTTTTTATTGATGAATATTGTTTTTTTGGCATTTTACCCAGGGTTAAAGGGTCATCTGATTTGAGCAAATCATTTTTTGTCTTGATAATTTTCCTTGGCGCTATTGGCTATATCAGTTTATGGGTTCTAGAATAATTTTGATGAAACTTGAAAAGCATTTTTATATAACCCAAATATCTTGTTTCCTTTCAATATTTGGGCATATCGGATCGTAACTTACTGAATTATGGCCTCTGATTTACGAAAAATCATATTTTTAGCTTGTGGTCCCTCTAGAGGTCACAAATTTTATCTGATTTAAAAAAATGTTTTAGTATATCACCGTTACATCCTAATGATGGTTGAGTTCGAATTTCGTGAAAATCGGACCAAACCTTCCGTACAAAATGACTGCCCCTTTTACACAAATATTGTAAAATATGGTATATCAAGGTTGTGGATCCTCTAAGAGGTCACAATTTTCATCTGATTTTGATAAAACTTGGAATGCATGTTTATATCCCAAAGATCTTGGTTCCATTCGATATTCACACATATCAGATCGTAACTTCCTGAATTATGGCCCTTGATAGTACGAAAAATCGCATTTTGAGCTTGTGGTCCCAATAGAGGTCACAATTTTTATCCAATTTAAAAAAAAAACTTGTCAATAGATCACAGTTATAAACTAATGATGGTTGAGTTCGAATTTTGTGAAAATCGGACAAAAACTGATGGAAATAATGGCTGTCCCTTGTACGCAAATAGTGTAAAAATATGGTATATCAAGGTTGTGGACCCTCTAGGGCCACAGTTTTTATCTGATTTAGATGAAACTTTAAATATATGTTTTTATCATAAAGATCTTGGTTCCTTTTGAGAATCACACATATCCGAACGTAACTTCCCTAATTATGGCTCCTGATTGGTCGAAAAATCGAATTTTTAGCTTTTCGATTCTCTAAGAGGTCACATTTTTTTTTCCGATTTTAAAAACATTTACATATATCACCTTTCCACCATAATGAAGGACGAATTGGAATTTCGGGAAAATCGAAATGAAAGTGCCTGACAAAATTGCTGCTCTTTGTACGCAAATTGTGTATTACAAAGGTTATGGACCATGGGTTCCACGTCGGCCGTATATGCCGGTCGAGACCTACGGCTATGGAAAATGACTGTTCCTAGATCTGACCTAACAGTCATTTTGCACGCCGGAAAGAGGGTCTTTTTTTTCAAAAAAAAAAAAATTTCAAACATGACTACGATCGACCTTCACTGTGTAACTATACAAGAATGCACGTCGTCTAGAAGCCAATCACGTGATTGGTGTTATAGAGTTGTATATATAGTCGTCAACAGATTATACTGAGTGTTGTGTTGATAATTAATGATGAGTGTCTGGTAGTAGAGCAATAAATGTTAATTGATAAGTGGGAATCTAATCAACGGCGTGAAGCGGCCCATTGTTAATCCGTTAGTCATTTAGTTATACATTATTAGGGTTTACGTCACAATTCTGCGGCCCGTAATTCCGTAAGAGATGGTCTAAAAAACACCCAAAATATGAGATATATGCCATGGATAATTATATATTTATCTTCATTTCAAAGTTATTGTATTACAACTCAAAATTATCCAGGTCAGTGTGTTTTCTATAGAGCACGTGTTAATTACGTGTGAGCTACTGAAATGGTTTTTCTCCGGCCAATTCAACTATTTCGTTATTTAAGTAGCCAAAACGGAATATTTAATTATTAAATAATTATCATGAGCCTTAATAATATTTCATTTTTAAGTCAAATATATTTTTTTTGTGCACCCCATGGTGACAAAGTAGTATAGACACGTGAATTCACAATACCCTACCATGAATAAAAAACATGAAATATAAATTTACTTTGAAAAGTTTTCGTGCGTTATCAAAAATGACCGGCAGTGAAAATTTTGAAGTGGAAGCCCTGTTATGGACCCTCTAGAGGTCACATCTTTATATTCCAAAAATCACAGTCCCTTTTGATATTTGCGCATTTCAGACCTTAACTTTCTGGATTATGGCCCCTGATTGTACAGAAAATCGTTTTTGTTTTTAACTTGTTCTCTATCCATCTCTTGCAAAATGTGGGCGTATCCTGTCTGGCAGCCGTTGGGTATCTCAGAAAGTGTTGTGCATCTAGCTCTTCATAAAGTTTATCAACATGTACATCAAGCGCTCAATCTCTGCGTGCAACCTTTGATGTCACGTCTGCAGACACTCCTAATCATCGGGCTGTCGATTAGGGGACCCTGTATGCACTCCATATATACCAAAATTGCCATACTTTTATTGGAAATAACAACCCAATAAATACTTTTCTGGGAACGTATCTTTAAATAAGAGAAATTAAAATATTATCCACAATGTATGATTGGTCTAAATAATTTTTTAGTGTTGTTAAATGATGAGAAAAGGAATATAACTTTTTCACATTTGATGAATGAGAGATGTCCTTTAACAAAGAAGTTGACATGATTGTAGAATGGACAATGGAGTCAAATCTCTCTAAATGGATATAGTTGGAAAGACCTATATTAATTTTAAAAGAGTCATAGGGTACACATCCAACATTTAATATACAAATAAAGAAATAATGAAATGATCCTGTTGTGTGATTATTATCTTTTATAGAAAACTTAAACCACTGATTTACCATACAGCCATACATCCAGGTTCTAGCCAAAACTATTGTGATTAGGGATGTTGTTGGGGTTGGACTATATTGGAGAAAATAATGTTGTGATATTTGCTATAATGATGCAGTAAGGGTATTTATCACAATATGATTTAGGGTTGTTGAACTAATCCAAGAACTGTAGTTTGCAAAGGATTCAAAATCCCTCAAATGATAAACTATGTTCTATGTTAAAGATTGGTTCATTTACGTTCACTATTAAAAAGATATGATGAATTGAAATGTTATCAACATTCGGCATCCTCTGTAGGTAATATTTTTATGGCCATTATGACCGTTTTGACCAATTTTTGGGCCGTATCATCCCTATAAACAGCCAGCACCACCTATCATTTTAGCTAAAATCTTTTGATGGGCATCTTTTAATTCAATTGAATCCAAGCTGGGAGATTATCTACCTTTGATATTATTTTTTTTTTTCTAATCAGTTATCAAATAATGAATTTGAGAGTTAAGTCGTGATAAATTAGATATTGTTTGGAAAATGCAAATGACTATCAGTGGCTTTAGTGAACAATATCAACAACCAAACTGTTAAGTTACCAAACAAAATTAAGTCACGGCAAGAGTATTAAACAAGTCACAATATCACTAGTTTAAACAGTGGTATATCATTGAATGTATGTCTTTAATGTATGTTGTTTCAGTGATTTTAGCATACAAAAAATATGTAACCATTAGCCGAACACATCACCAAATCCAACCTCTTAATTCTATTAACCTTCCCCATAGTCTAAACCATGAATATTTAAAGGGCTAATCCCGATAATATTTTGGAGAATAAAACTGGTTAATTTTGTGTTAAAATCACTTAAAAACCTCTACCTTAGGGCCGAACAACTAACTCAATATATTTAATACGTTTTCAAACAACTTAAACCCGTCAGTCTTCATCTGTAAGTGGGGACTGGTGCCCAAAGCTGTATTATGCGGTGTCTGGATAAAACCAACCTTTTTTTTTATAAAAATAATGTGTAGGTGAAATTTACCTTTCGTTATCAAGTACAGCACATGGGTCATTCACTGTATAAACCTCTAAAGAAACGGAAATCGATTATCAGGTCACCCAAGGAAAAAATTGACCCGAAATCTTAAAAGGGTTACGTGTCCGGATAAGCAGTTTTGACGTTCACGTCCAAATGACTCAATATTTTGAGCTGAAGTTTTGAGACAGAGTAAATACACCATTTCTTTATATTTTGGCGCTTAACTTTCATACGTACTCAGACTTTTAATTTTGAGACTCTGTTCAATTCGGGATAGTCCCTTTAACAAAACCTGGCAGAAAATGTTAATTCAAACCCTCTGCATCGATTCTCAACAAAAATGGCCATGCAAAAGGGGAAAATAGTGCGAGAGAGAATAGACAAAATACAAATGGTGGGTACCTAGGTGGTGAAATGTAATTGTGGTCTGCGTCCATATTTGACAGGATTGGAGAGTTATCCCTAGTCAAAAATAAGTTTGTTACTATATAGTCTATGAATATAAATGTAATAGCTGAAATGTAGGTCTGTAAATTTACAGAATTTTATCTTACGACACAATAAATACAATTATATTTCTAGTTGGAAGTTTGAGAAAAAAGAGTAGTTGTTTTAGTTAGAAGAATTCTTGGCTAATCTAAGATACACAAACTGTGAATAGTTTGGCCCAACTGAAAAAATTTTGAAGGTTGATAAGCACTAAACAGAGTTTAACTCTGAAGTTGTAAAGAACATATAAAACATTGATTAGCCATAATCAGCATTCTATAGTGTGGGTTATCCAAGTTTTAAATTCACTTCCACCTAGGGTGATATTGCAGACAAGATCAGCTTTCGAGAATACACACTCCCAATTTATACTAAAACTTGGGTTGCTGTAAAAGTCTGGACCGAAGATTTTCAAGGAATGATTTCTGGAGGTCATATTACACTATATGCTTTAAATTGGTAATCAGGACAACCATCTAATTCTTCATTTCTCTGTTTCATCATAATTTTTAATCTATGATTCCTGATTAACGATCTAACCATAGTAATCTACCCCAGCTTATTTTTGAAAATAATTCCCCACAACACTTAGAAGAAAATATCAAAATTTAAAAAAAAAATACAAATAAATATGGGGAATGAAACTTACCTGAAGCACTTAATATGTTGATATATGAAATATATAAAGATGTATATGATATGGTCTAACAATGTATAAGCTGTATATTGTGTCATAAATTCTATAGTTTCACACCTGTGTCTGTTTCTTTTGTTTTCAGCTTTTTGAAGGAATGAAAGCCTATAAGGGTATTGATGAAAAAATTCGACTCTTCCGACCAATGGAGAACATGAAGCGTATGAACAAAACAGCCGAACGATGTGCTCTACCGGTAAGTATACTTAAATATCATCTCTTATGTCTATTGTTATCCTCATCATCTTTTGTTAAAAGCAGATTGAATAAAGATTTAGATTACACTGGTAGGACATACTCTATATATTTCTTTTTTCAAGACGTGGGACATATTTATTTCTATAAAGTGATTAATAATACCAGTACTTGTAAAACTATAATGCTAACGAAAGATGAATATAAAACAGAACATAATACCAAAAATGATAATAAAAACATTCTAAGAATAACTTTACGATGAGAAATAAAAGATACAGAGAAATAATTCTCAAACCACAAACCGTGAAAGGTACCAATAGCTTTTATTTCTTTGCTAACAATTAGAAAGCATCCCAGATTAATTCGGTTGAATCTATGATAGAAAGAGTGGATAATACTCATACAAATTGAGTATAATGAACACAGGTAACTGAAAGAATACAACTTGCCTTCTTTACAGAATTATAACTATTCATTTACTAAGCTTTAGTGTGAAGCTAAATAAACCCTTTCACATTTCATACTTATATTATTGTGTATTAAAAGAAATGAACTTTGCAGTGATGATGCTGAGGTTTACAATTCAACAGAGATATTTATTAAGGGGTGTATAGATATAGATATTTTACAATAGATAGGTAATAAATCAATCTACACAGTATACAGTATCTTGTCATCCAGTATAGAAGATAGTATATAAATTATTGTTAATGTATTTTACAGTTGACTATTTGAATATTAACTTTTAAATTTTCTACAGGTGTCCCCCCCCCCCCCAATCTTATTTCTGTCAATGCAGTTTAGGTAGTCAATGTCAGCCACTATAGAACAATTATTATATATTTGAACCTGTAATGAATAAATGTACTGAGGACTTCAATCATTTCTTTGGAATGGAAATAGATAAATATAAAGAGCATGCTTATATATGAATCATCATAGGTGTCATTAATCCTATTTATACAACAATACACGTACAATGTTATTTAAGTAAAGGAAATTTGTTGAAGTGTATTTAATCTGTGTCAAAACTTTAAAATGTAAACAAAATTACCAACTTTAAAATTATCTTTTTGTGAAGAATTCCACAATAAGTGTGACGAATGTGGACTGTGTCTTCAAATATTCTTCTCACCAGTATCTACAAACAATTTATTTGAAATGAAATGTGGTTTAACGTCCTATTGTTTTGCTCCAATTGAGCTAATGAATAATTGTTGAATTTACATACATATTCTTGTAAATATTCTCTTGTCTTTCTTTTCCCAATGTGTCTTCAAATATCTGATCTTATAATACATATTTAATATATATATGACAGACATTTGATGGAACAGAATTGGTCAAATGCATAAAAAAGTTGTTATCAGTTGATGCTGATTGGGTACCTACCACACAAAACAGTTCTCTGTATATACGACCTACACTTATTGGTAATGATGTAAGTATATTAGATAAATGTATATTGTACTAACAATTTTATAAAACATATATTGATAGTTACAGTAATTACTGACAAATCACACATCTATGATAGTTTATGAATGATATTGATACGGCAGCTGCTGTTTGTCTTCAATCAGTAGAAAATTTGAATATAATTATAATTGATGAAACTGGGTTGGGTTAAATAACTTGGTTATTAAAAATTATAAATAGAAGATTTCTAATTTGAGAAATACAAAAAGTAGGTTTACAGTTAAGTTGTTAAAATGTTACAATTCATATTTTATGCAAAAATACTTTTTTTATGTCCACTTTTTATTATGATTTATCATAAAGCCCCTTATAAATTGTATTGAGCTTTGCTTGAATTGTTCACTCGTTTTTTTATTCGTATCCGAGTATAAATCCTACAGGTGCATGAGTAGATTTTCATAATCTGCAAAAATGTTTCACGCTTGAGTTGACATTGTTGACAACCATGCAGTAAGTGGCAAGGAGTTAAGCAACGCCTTGCTATGATTTAAATATCCTTTTAATTGTTAAATCTTGTGTATGTGGTATGTGTTTAAATAAAATTTGAATATAATATGAGGTTAATAAATTGTATTGTTAAACTAGGTGTATTATTAGTAGGGGAATTTGCTTAGTCAGTTTTAAACAAGTGTTTATTGTTATAGGGTACCAGCCCTTGCCTGGTAGCAGTCTATTGTTATAGAACAAATGCTCTTTTGCGCTCTATACACCCTTTTCCTTTAACAAGAGATTCTGTCGACACAATTGAGTTAGCTAGGGCTCTTTATGGCCACCTTTTTTTTTTTATTCAATTGTTCACTTCTATATGCAGTTTCCTATTGTGTGTCTTTTGATAGAGGTATATTATTATAAAACATACATGGTTATACTCCAGTTTTTTTTATTTAAAGTATGGGATCATCGAAGCATGCTATAGGCTATTTAGTATTATAACTTGGATACTTTATCTACATTAAAAAAGCATTTTAAAAAATTTGAGAAGTAAATGATATGTGATTATGATTTAGAGGTCATATTCACATAGACCAAAAAACTTTCAACATTTAATGCGATGTCATTATTTGGTGTAAACTAGAAAGTTAATTCAGTTTTAAAAATAATTTAAAAAGGTCTTTTAAAGATTGATTATTTTTTTTTTTTATGCGATTTGTAAAGGTGATATATTTTAGATACCTGGTTGATAAATAGAATGGAAATTCTTGGCCTAGTATTATTGCCAGTACATGTAGTGCCATGAAAAGAACTTTAAAAATCGCTTCACATTGTTGGAATTTAAATGTATTTTATAATTATTAGTGATTATGTAGTTAATAAAAAAAAACTTGGGGTTTAAGAACATGCCAAATCTTGTGTTATAATCTATTTTTTATCTATATGTCAATATTTAATATATTATATTGTGATTTTGCAGAAATTTCTAACTTGTGAGATCTAAAATATTCATATAAAATTGCAGAAATTTCTAAATTGTGAAATCTAAAATATTCAAATAAAATGGTACCAAATGTATGTCCCAAAATGACAGTTTGTTTTGAGTGTATGTTGAACCCCATTCCCCTCTCTCTCTCTCTTAGTTCGGATGGCATGTCAAAATCTGAGGACAAGGGTTCTTTTATGTGCAAGCAAGTCAGAAATTTAAGGAAATACTGCTGTCCAGACAAGATTCATCTCTCTATCATTGCACATACATAGAAATAAAGAATGTTTGTCTCAAATGGACCATTGTATTGTGTTGACGAGATGTTAAACCCCATTTCATTCTTATTATCCACGTTATACAAATAGCCATAACTTATATTGATCCAAATAAATATCGCAATATAAATGTTTTTATTTCTGCAATGTTGAAGGACTAAACAATCTTGCAATTCTATGATCTGAATCAAGAATAGTTTAGTTGGAATGTTGTAAAGTTGTATGGTAGACATGATTTTATATATTAATTATCAACTTATATTGCAGCCAACACTAGGAGTAAGTTTATCTCACAATGCCATGTTATTTGTTATCTTGGGGCCTGTTGGATCTTATTTTACCACAGGTTTGGACCCAATAACCCTGTTTGCTGACCCGAAGTATGTTCGTGCATGGCCTGGAGGTTGTGGAAGTTATAAAATGGGATCGTAAGTTACAAAACACACTATGTTAGGGTGCCCCATGCAGCAAAAATTTTCCCTACTGAAAGTTGAACGCGACACGATGAATGTGCACGCTTCAGTCCATGAGTCTATAAATAGCCATCGCATGTGAAATTCTCTGCACATCTATCAACTATTACAGTCGTTAAAAATCTATTGTTGACGATTCTGAATAGCAGTAATATTTAGCTTTCAAAGAAAGCGGGGGACTAAACAAAATGGGTTTGTCCCTCTGTCTGTCCTTTATTGGGGACACAATAACTCTGTTTCTAATTGAGCTAGAATGTTCAAACTTGGTGTAGGTGTTTATTAGGTCAATGCCTTGATGGAGTTCGAAGATGAGCATTTTCTGCTTAGGGTAATCAGAGATAAGCAATTTGATTGGTTGATGCTTTGGGACACGATAACTTTAGTTCTAATTAAGTGAGAGTGATGAAACTTGGTGTATAGTTTCATTACACCATTACCTTGACTAAGTTCGATAATGAGCATTTTCTCCTCAGGGTAAGCAGAGTGATAAACAATTTGATTGGCCGAGACTTTGGAACACAAATACTCTCCTTTTAATTGAGCTAGAATGTTCAAACTTGGTGTAGGTGTTTATTAGGTCAATGCCTTGATGGAGTTCGAAGATGAGCATTTTCTTCTTATGGTAAGCAGAGATAAGAAATCTGATTGATTGATGCTTTAGGGCCAATAACTCTCTTTCTAATTGAGCTAGAATGTTCAAACTTGGTGTAGGTGTTTATTAGGTCAATGCCTTGATGGAGTTCGAAGATGAGCATTTTCTGCTTAGGTAAGCAGAGATAAGCAATTTGATTGGTTGATGCTTTGGGACACGATAACTTTAGTTTTAATTAAGTGAGAGTGACGAAACTCTTGAGTATAGATTCATCATTACCTTGACTAAGTTTGATGATGAGAATTTTTTGCTTAGGCTAAGGATCGATAAGCAATTTGATTGGTCAAGACTTTGGAACATAACAACAGTGCTTTTAATTGAGGTAGAATGTTTAAACTAGATGTTGATGTTCATTAGGTGAATGTCTTGACTGAGTTCAATGATTAACATTTCGAGCTAATGCTAAACAGAGCTAAGCAATTTTATTGGTGGATGCTATAACTTTGATTCTGTCTGATAGAGAGTGATGAAACTTGGTATATAGTTGATAATCGGTTTGATTGCTTGATACTTTTGAAAAAAAATAAATGTGCGATTAATTAATATGTGTCATCTATTTATTTTGTTATTTCAGCGGGGGACAGCAGCCTCACTGTTGGCTTTAGAAATTATGTTTGTTCTATCTTTTAAATTGCTTTATCATTAACTATACCATTTAGTACAAATAATATCTCTGAAACACTCGCTTTAGGCAAGAACATGATACTAGCAGTAGTTTACTTTTACTTTTACAAGATTCGTAAAAAAGTAATCTTGATTATCCTGGCCTGTCAATCAGATGGAGAATGGTCATTAGACTGGTTAAGCGAGACTAATTTCAACACGAGGGCACGTAACCTATTTTTTACTTCAAAGTGCCCGGATGTTATGGCAAACACTCGTAAACATTTTTCAATCTACTATTTATCGATGGATAAATGGTCATCGCTTATTAAGTACAACATGATCATTTATTTAGTGACTATAAATGTGCGAAACTGATTTAAGGCTTGGTATATATATATAAATATTGTGGTGTAATAGTCAAGATATTTGGAGATATTTATTTATGGTGGGGAACCCTAACTATGTACACTTAAAATATAAACAAAATCATTTTCCAGTATTTCAAAACCTGATGCTCAGTTTGCATGCTAGTAAAGTCCAATATCTAACTGTAGTAATTACATCAGATTTTAGATTCTTTGAGTGACAGAATTTGAAGTGATGATATATTTAGAAATTAAATGATGCTTTTAAAGATGCATTATGTAAGAGCTAAATCTGCTTATTGCATGTTTTTTTTTTGGGGGGGGGGGGCTTTAAACATTATATAAATTATTATTAAGACATTTAGTCACATGACCAGACCATTATCCATTCTCTACACTATCAGACATCTGAAATATAATGTGGATTTGACAATGTTGGCCATATCTTCATTGAATGGTACTTAAAAATGGAGACTATTTACACTATTTCTAGTCAAAATTTTGAACATTCATAACTTCGATCAGAATAGAGTAATTTAAAATTCAGAAACGTTGATCTAGAACTTTAAATGATATATCTAAAACCAAATGGAATATGACTATGAACATCATTGATAATCAGCAATTGCTCAATCCTTAATGTATGTTATTTTTACAATTAGAAATTATGCACCAACTGTTCAAGTACAAGCTAAAGCTGTAGAAGCAAATTGTCATCAAGTTTTATGGTTATTTGGTGATGATCATCAATTAACAGAGGTGGGAACAATGAATATATTTATGTATTGGACCAATGAACAAGGTGAAGATGAACTGATTACTCATCCATTGGATGGTTTGGTATTACCAGGAATAACAAGGTCATCACTCATCAAAGTTGCAGAGAAATGGGTAACTAACATATTTGCATTCTTTTATAATAGATTTTTAAAAAGTTATAGAATCTGTTCAATTGAGAAGGAAAGAAAGGGACTGTGGTCATTTTCGTCTACTTCTGCTCTTGATTAAATTCTATGTGTCAAGGGTTGTTTTACATGCATGCCAAATGTATTTTCATACCATTGGAATGAATAAGCAACATAACACCAAAATTTGAAACTAGCGAAATTCACAAAGTATAGCCACTTAACTAAAACAATGCAGCATAATACCCAACAAAACATAAAACAAGCAGTACATAGACCCCCCCCCCCCCCCACCAACTTGGATTTGATCTCTTGTGATATCAGGTTAAATACATAAGTACGTGTATTGGCTGTGTGAACCTACCGCAGAATGGGTTTCTCACAGTGACAAGCAGACCTGTCAACTCTACTGCGAAAAGGCCCCATGTACCACTCTACTGTGCGGTAATAGATTTCTAACGCATTTTCAAACAAAGAGGTTTTTTCCATTTTCTCGCCAAAACTATGAAACTAAGGTATGCAACTCTTTGCTTGTAAACAAAAATGGTTGCGACTTTTGGTTATGGGCAAGGTAAAATGACACCATCTTGTTGCAAACTAGTCTCGACACCAACAAGGCTGAACATATTATTTTCCAACACAAAGTAGTGGCCCTTGGATACAAAAGACCAAAATGAACTATATTACTCACAATACACTATTTTACTGTCAATGACCCTTTAAATCGTACACCCGTGTGTTATCATGTAAATGAAAATTTCAATTTCATCAATTTCTTGCGGTTACACCTACAGTAGTTGAGTCTTAGATTTTAGATTTTCGGTAAGGGACTGTCATTTTCTTTTTGTCCCCCGTCTTTCGAAGAAAGCAGGGTCTATTAAAATGGGTTTGTCCGTCTGTCTGTCCGTCACACTTTTTGGGACACATAACTCTCCTTCTAATTGAGCTAGAATGTTCAAACTTGATGTTGATGTTCATTCGGTGAATGTCTTGACTAAGTTCAATGATTAACATTTCGAGCTAAAGCTAAGCAGAGCTAAGCAATTTCATTGGTCGATACTTTAGGACAAGATATCTTTGATTCTGTCTGATAGAGAGTGATGAAACTTAGTGTATAATTGATAATCTGTTTGATTGCTTGATACTTTTGAAAAAAAAAAAGAATTTGCGATAATTAATATGTGTCATCTATTTCTTTTGGGATTTTGGCAGGGGACATCAGCCTCACTGTTGGCTTGTTCTGTCTTGAAAATGACCCTTCATATCTTTAGACAAGTGATGCGAATAATCGTTAAACTCACAAGGTTTAGCGGAACATTATATAGCTATGTAAAAGGTTTCATTTACATCACCATACATACAATTATGCCATATTCCGTTTAGTAATAAAACACTTCACCGTTGTATAAATGTAAATATTGTTTCGTAGGTAGCTTTCGTCTCTGAATATCTAGATGTCCTTGAACATATGCTAATATCAATGAGCAAAAGTGTAGATTTTAAATATAAATTTTTTTATGGTAAACAACTGCGGAATAAGATTAATTCATATCAAAATACAAATGAGGTGTCATTTACGGGATTTGATAATATTAAAAAATAAGTCATGCATGAAAACAGACACAGAAAGGTAAATAAAGATGAAGTAAGTACTTTTTGACTTATACTATAGACAATTATCTATACATCAGGTGGTAAATCGTAATATTATAGACTATTGCGCTTCATTTGCAAGAACTGTCACATCTTTTAATATCAACATTATTCATATGGAACGTTCTATAAACTGTCAAAATCTAAACTATCATATCATAGCTGCCATTGTCAAGTGTTGGTAAATGTTAGCAAAAAGGCTTGTTTTTAAATTTTGGATAGATTATTATTCATTTATGTTAGAATAATAATCATTTTGAAGGTCTGATATATATAGTATTTGTTACCTAGATATAATTTTTGTGGGGTAAATTCTTTTCTGTGGAGTACCATTTGCAACACATCATATTTTCCAATTGATCATTCAGCTAAACATTACCACATTCAATAGTGGACTATTGGTGTATAATCTAAGATTAAACGATGTGTTGGGTGTGAGTAGATGTTGAATAAAATTTATAACAAAATATTTTACTGTAAAACTAAGTAAATATGTCCAATGTTTAGTTGTCAGTGTATCTTTATGTTTCCAGGCACAAAGTTTCGAGGGGTGAATTAAGAAGTCTAACAAAATTTTAACAATATGTATTCATTATAAAAAATGCTGAAAACAAAAAATGTATTTGCTATTTTCCATACAAACCCAAAACATTTAATCCAAATGATGTTTATCATGGTATTCTATACAAAAAGTCTGAAAGTAGTCCCTTGAAAAAATGGAGGATATTTGAAAAAAAAAAGTTTGATTATATGGACTTGTTGTGCTAAAACAAAGATAGTTTTCAAAATTTGAAGTCTTGATGGTTGTAGTGTATATATTCAGGTATCTCTGTGAGACTTTGTGATTTCCCATGTTGAGTTGTTTACTCTGTAGCTGTGCAGTGCTGAATGGTATATTTGCTTCATAAAGTTACAAATTCCAAAGTCATTATTTTTGATTTTCATCCATTTTTTATTGTTCAGTATCATCTCAAGCATGTTTAGACACCAAAATAAAGGCACTAAAGGTGTTGTAAATGTTTTTTGCGGACCCTCCATTTTAGGTGTTGTGACAATTTTTTGTCACTTTACGGTGTAATTTAGCTATTAGATTTGCAATCAAAATAGTTTTCAATGTATTTTAGAGTTAATAAAGCTTTTATGATTATTTACTCTTACAATGCGTATTAAATAAAATAAACAAATAACAACCTGTTTACGGCAGCAATGGCTGACGTTTTCGTTTGCACGCATATAGCATCAAATACAATATACCTAAAACTATTTTTTTCAAGATGGGGATAAGTCTCACCAATTCTGAATAACATGGAAATGCTCTTTCGAATAACGTTTAACCCCATTTCATTTCATTTCTTTCGAATAAATGTAAAAACAGATTTTCGGAACATTTTACAGAGAAAATAAGACCTTGCTTACCTCGCTGGAGTCCCTAAAACGTTCCTTTACATTGTTCAGGCATTCACAGAGACTGACTCACGACCATTTAGCTTTGATAAAATCTTAACAATATTTAATCAATGCCTAGAATGTAATGTTTAAATTGATTATGTTTCAGGGTGAGTTTAAGGTAACAGAGAAACCATATACAATGAAACAAGTGATAAAAGCATTAAAAGAAAATAGGGTAAGTTTGCTATATATTATTTTTTATATGTTGAACAGGTCTTTATGATTTTAAGAATTGAATACAAGAGCTGCCACTTGGAGAACAGATTACTAGACATAATTAGTTATTAATGACGAACACCTTATCTGTCATTATTTCAATGCAATACTGTAAAGCAAGAAATGAATGCATGCAATTTATGAATACTAGAAGTTACCTTTCAATCACTGATATAATAATGGACTACCTAACTACTGCAACTAAATTCAATTTATTTATTTTATTTGACTAGATAAAAGAGATATTTGGTGCTGGCACAGCCTGTGTTGTATGTCCTGTTAAAGAGATTTTATATAAAGGTGAACTATTAAATATACCCGCTGTAGGTGAACCTAAGTTATCAATGAGATTTTATGACGAACTGACTGATATACAGGTTGGTCATGATTATATTACAACTTTATAATTACATAATTTTTATTTAGTCATCACTGAATTGTTCTATATTTTTATTTAGCCACTATAAATTAAAAAATTGTCTCCCATGCCATAGTAGTTTTTTGTTCTATCATTGGCACTGGTTGCTACTTTGCAGTGGCAGGGGTATAACTCAGTGGAGAATCATCTTAACCACTGCCATGCTTCCCCCGCACATTTTTGTCTGTTTTTTTCCCCTATGATTTTGCAATATTTTGTAGGGAATAAGGAAAATAATTCTTACAAAGTTATCTCCCTTCTTGACACACTAATAGGAGACCACTGTATTTTGAAAAATTTATACTGAATTTTATTTACAGCTTGGTAAAAAAGAGAGTGAATGGACTGAATTAATTTAAGTAGAAGAAAAAAGATAATGAAGATTAGTGCATTTTGAAATAAACACCTCAAATGAGCGTTTTTAAATGTTTTTCTGGTTCTTGCATTATTTGTTCACTCTTATTGGAATAATGGTTTGGGTTTTAACTGACAATTTTAATACCAGAAAATTTCTAGATTTTGATGATTGTTTTGCGAGGTGGGAAAATAAGCTATATTGATTAAATAGAACTAATTATTTTGTATGAGGTTTTAAACTGTGATAAATGTATTATTACAAAAAATATTTACTATGTGATTTTAATAACATTATCTCATTTATTGCTGTTTGATTGAATCATGATTTTTGCAAGTTTGTTTCAAGAGAAATCATAAGCATATGGGATGCTTTATGTTTGGAAAGTCTCTAAAATCTATAGATATTCCCCAAATTTATCACATTTTATGGAAATATGTCCAATTATTGCCTGAATATAACTTATTCTATCTTGAAAATGACATGTTTTGTTTACAAAATATGGCTTGACACATTTGGGAATGCTGTAACACCCCACAATCCCCTGCTATGTTATAATGATATAATAAGTTTGTATAATATAAGATTATAATTGCAATTATCATTCTGATTTTATACAAACTCATTATTAACATAAAGTTCAGGTTTTTCTGGCAGGATGGATTTATTGTGACTGTCCAAAAAAGTTATTTTTAGAAAATAGTCAAAGCTATAGAGTTGGTCTAATACTGTAGTTTTAAATCTTATTTTTGATAGAACTGGTAAATGGCGAATGGAACGTATTGAAGTGATTTTTGGATAAATGAGTGACATATACATTTTTATCCGAATATACAGAAATTCCGAAAACATTTTTCACAATTGTTTTTTTTACATAATTTTGTAATGTATTATACAATGGATTTAGTAAATGGTATAAATCTCTATTAACCCAAAATATATTTGATGTTACAGTTTGAGTTCCACTATCAGTTTCATTTTTATGTACTTTTTTTTTGTTGTGATACTGTCTCAGGATCTTATTTAGGTGTTAATTGAGCCAACTTGTTTAATTTTATAAAGTTCTAAAATGACAAATGCCACAAATGACATGTATATTTCTATCTATCTCTTTGTGTAGAAAGATAAATTATTAGCATTTATGGAATAAATGATAGATTGTACTTTTTTGTAAAATATAGGAAAAAGATAAAAGTATTGGTATGTTCTTTTATATTACATAGAATCAAAATGTTTTCTAATATTTATTTTATACTCTAAAATCTCTAATTTTAATTTTAACAAACTGTGGGTATAATGAGAATCTCTTCTAATAATCCTTTGTGATAAAACAAATCCTAATGATCAAAATGTAGACCGGTTATATGAATTATGTTTATTTTTAATATGTTAATAGAACTTGCATATCTATTTTGTTGACAATAGTTTTGTATTTTCATTTACCCTATATGTATTGCAAAGCTGAATTTTATACTTAAAATTGTGAAATCTGATATTCATTCCACTACAACCTGTAATCTATTTAAATATTGTTCCTTACGATCTGATTAATTTATTGCTGGACTTTTTAAATCTTAAATATTCATATTCTATTTTACTTTCATAGAAACAATTTCCTTTTAGTTTTTTAGTAATACTTATAGAAAAGGTGGTTTTAATTTACAAATACTGTCATGTAGGAAATCTTTGTGTGTATGAAAAGACAGAAAGACATTTAAGTACCATACTGGAGGGTTGTAATATTTATATGATTACAGGCTAAATATCTGTTAATGACAAAACTATTTTGTAGCAAGTAAAAAGTGAACTTTGGAACATTTAATGATTTATACCATAAAGGTTTCTTGCTTTACAGTAGTTGATTGTTAATCTTTGCATGATACATTAATATATAAAACTAGAAAGAGACAATACATTAATATACTGTAAACTAGATATAGATATATATTTTATAAAATAATACCAGATGAGATTATTATTATTATATATGAATAGTAAGAGATCATTTTACTATGTAAGAACTGTCCAACCTCGTGGGTTTTCTCTGAGTCCTCCGGTTTCCTCCCACTGCTAAAGACCCCTATGCGCAAGCGTATTATGGAAATAAAATTGAACCATATGTTAGTCCCGAAATGACCTAGGTTGTGTCGAGTGGACGTTAAACCCCATTTCTTTCTCTCTCTCCACTATGTAAGAAGAATCAAAACTTTGATTTTGAACAAAATGAAATAAAATGCGGTTTAATGTCCTACTATTCTGCTTCAACTGGGCTAATGAAGACAGGCGTACACCATACAGTGTGCTATGAGGGAAATTTTGCTAGGACAGCGGTGCTACAGTCTACACTTATATCAAATTCCAACTGATAAGGGATCTTAACATGCATGCCAATGTGTATAAAGGACCTCGGTTTTTCATCCCAACCGAACGCATAAACGTTGTCCCTTGCCAGGCCCTCTGTCCTGCACTACTCACCAGGGAGAAACCCTAACAAACTTTCTTGCCAATGCTGAGATCGAATACAGGACCGCCACGTTAGTGAGCCAATATCTTATGTGGTTGACACACTAGCCGAATCAAATATGTTTGACATATTTGGCCGAATTATATTTGCCTAGTGCATCCACTTTGTTGAAGCATTTGCCCGAATGTTGGATTCATTAGCTAATCACCCACTCATATCGAGAAGTCACATGATTGTTTGAAGACATGGTTGCCGCCATGTTTAATTATGTGATGTGAAAGGTGATGCAATCGACTGGTGAATCGGCGAAGCATTCGCTTGGTTTGTCCACCCATTCGGCTGAATAAATTTTGGTGCTGATTGATTTGGCTAATGTGTCCATTGCTTTACTCACTGAACCACTGTGGCACTTGATTTTGAAGGTAAAAATAAATTAACAATGGAATTTGGATAAAACGTCTTTTTATACGCCCACATTTTCATGTGGATGTATATTGTCGTCGACCCGGTTCGTCCGTCTACAGGTCACAATTTTTATCCAATTTCAATGAAACTTCAAATATAAGTTTATCACCCTAAGATCTCGGTTCCCTTCGATATTGGCATGTATTGGACTGTAACTTCATGGATTATGGCCCCTGATTGTACGACAAATCACGTTTTTAGCTTGTGAACACTGTAGAGGTCACAATTTTTATCCGATTTGGTTTAAACTTGAAATGGATGATTATAATCCACATATCTCGGTTCCTTTTGATATTCGCGCATATTGGACCATAACTTCCTGAATTATGGCCCCTGATTGTACGAAAAGTCGCGTTTTTAGCTTGTGGACCCTACAGAGGTCACAATTTTTATCCGATTTAAAAAAACGTTTGAATATATCACCGTAACACACTAAGGAAGGTTGAGTTCGAACTTCGTAAAAATCGGACCGAAACTGATGGACAAAAATGGCCGCCCCTCGTTCGCAAATAGTGTAAACATATGGTATATCAAGGTTGTGGACCCTCTAGAGGTCACAATTTTGATCCGATTTCGTTGAAACTTGAAATACATTTTGATAACCCAAAGATATTGCTTCCTTTCCAAATCGTAACTTTCTGAATTATGGCCCCTGATTGTATGAAAAATCATGTTTTTAGCTTGTGGTCCCTGTAGAGGTCACAATTTTTATTCGATTTAAAGAAAACGTGTGAATATATCACCATTACACACTAAGATCTTGGTTCCTTTTGATAATCGCGGATACCCGAACTTAACTTCCTGAATTATGGCCCCTGATTGTTCGAAAAATCGCATTTTTAGCTTGCGGATTCTCTAGAGGTCACAATTTTTTTCTGATTTTAAAAACCGTTTAAATACATCACCATTCCACCATAATGAAGGTTGAATTCAAATTTCAGGAAAATCGAAATGAAACTGCCTGCTCTTTGTACGCAGAAGTGTGTAATGTGAAGGTTGTGTACCCTCTAGAGGTCACAATTTTTATCCAATTTTGATGAAACTTTAACCATATCTTTATATCCCAAAGATCTCAGTCCCTTTTGATATTTCAGGCCATAACTTTCTTGATTATTGCCCCTGATTGCACAAAAATTTGTGTTTGGTTTTAGCTTGTTCTCTATCCATCTCTTGCAAAATGTGGGCGTATCCTGCCTGGCAGCCGCTGGTTTTTTTTTATGTGTATATTTTGTTATTTTGTACTAGGCAGCATTAAGCTTTTTTTTACATGTACTACAGATGATGATAGTATTAAACTTTTTGCAAAGTATTTATAACTTCTGATACTTTTCTCAAAATATTAAAAATAATAATTTCCTTTGGACTGTTGATTTATTTTAACATCTCCAAATCTAAAGGTATTGAAATTTAAAATGAAAGGTTTCTTTTTCATTATTTTAGTTATGTAGATGATAATCATACAAAAAGCCGCTAATAATACAACAATAAAAATTTAAAACAAGAGAATAAAGGTAAAATTTCATATAGTGACATTAACCTAATTATTGAAAATCCAACTTAAATAGTTGCCCACGAGCATTACTTTCCAAATTCCTAGTTTTTTTCATGTGCCAAATTGTTACAAAAAAGAGCATTTTTTTTTTAGAACATTAATTGAAAAACATAAAATTTGTGATTTTTTCAGATGGCATGAATACTTTGGATATCTAAACCTAAACAAAAGGTATGCAATTCATTGTGGTAGTGACTATATAAATTAAATTCTACATAAGCCAGAGATAAATTAAGATTTATTAGAATTTTATGGTATAGGATTATTTTGAATGTCATATGAAATTTATTTTCTTGTTGAAAGTGATAATACCTCTTTAAAAACTATCTTTGTAGTTCTTCAGCAAATCTTACTAATTATTAGGTATGTTAGAGACTATATAATATTGCTATATAATTTTTTTTTTATGGAGAAGACAGACATGTACCTTATAAGTTTATTTTATTTTTGGAGTTTTGTTTTGAATGTTATTTTGAATGTTATTTGTTGTTTACCAATCCTATTACCCCTAGTTTAGTAACAATATAAAGTTTTGTTTATAATATCGCTAATAAAATAATTATCACACAATATTGAGATTTATTTTCTTGAGGCCAGAATACTGCAAGGCAGACCGATTTACCTACCCCATTCTGAAGACAATAGTTAAACATCCATTATTACCTTATGACTCAATTGGCATGGACAATTGGAAAATTTTGCTTTGCCTTCTTTACATGGTTAAGTTTGATAGTCATAGGATCTTTTACTATTGATGACGTCTGCAGATAGTCTTTATATCAAATATACATGTATATATATATTCTTAAAAAAAGTAGTAGGGTAAATTGAATTGCAAATAGGCCTACCTATGCAGGTTGTGATATGATAAATAGTCATGAATACTTGGCATGCTTTGAGAGTATGCTCCCAGATAAAGAACTTATCGAACCAACAGAACCACTGAGCTGCATGTGCGACATGCAATAGTGCCATACACGAGGGAGGGGTTCATTGTCAAATTTGACACTTCAAGGAAGGGTTGATGAAAACTGCCGCTTACTGGTTTATCCTATCCATGTTTGCTTTCCTATCAGTTCTTGCAGAAGAGTGCAGAACAATGTCAGTTATACATATGTTTACAAACTATTACTGACATTTACTTCATACTCCAGGGTAGAATTGTGATAACCTGATAAATTTTGTCTCAATAGTAACTCTTATGAACATATCCCATCTTTATAATTACAGCACTAAGCCAACGTTTCTGATCAATTAACATAACTTTAATGGCTTATAACATGATATTTATTATTGGCTTAGATGTGTTCAACACATGACAATCATTGAAGAATTATATTGAAGAACTCATCAAAAAAAAAAAGAGATAGCAAATGTTTTTTTTTTTTTTACAAATATGACCAAAATGAACCTGGTTGAGACCAAAAACCATAAATGTCCAAAGAAAATGATAAAATACAGACTATATGAAATAATATGTATGAAAATAGTTTTATTACAGTTAATTATGTTCACAGCACCATTAACAATTATAATAATAGATTTATACATATATACAATTGTTTTTAGCATTTCATTTGTTTCATAGTAGAGGTATAATTATAAATGCAATCAACAATCTTTGTAGGATAATATACATAACTTAGTGCATTTTAAACAAACAAATCTATTTCATTATAAATAATATCAATACAATTTAACGTCATCTTTTAATTAATGTTTATTAGCAGATAAGGCACTTAATTATATACTGATTATGTATTAACATTTTATGAAGGTTTTTTTTTTTTGGACATAACATCTTCAGTTTTTGTAATGTTCAACTAAACAAAGCTTATATACCGAGACAATGAAAACCCTACCACTTCTATAAATGGATGATTGTTGTAAGTCTGGACAAATCACCACAATAACACTTAAGAATCAGGTTTTTATGATCATGTAAACGCACCACATATCAATTCTCTTAAACACAAAATATTGAATTTGACAGAATGATAATGTTGAAAATAAAGATTTTTATGGAAATAGACAAGGTTCACTAAACATCAGCCAATGCCTGCACGGCAACGCCACAGGATCAAAAACTGCCAGCTTCCTGTAATGCTATTGTGAGGGGTCCACATGGGTTCATCAGGGATGATTGAACACCATCAATGACTTTTATCGTATGCACTTTGTTGTAGATTTTCTTATGTTAGTAAATGTCCAGCGTACAATCATGCCAAAAAAATCTCATTTCGCCAGCATTTCCAATCAAATCGGTGGTGTTTTTTTGTATATTACACCATTATGATTTACAGATGTATATTATCACCAAATTCAAATCAGAAGTTTGGTTTCATTTTTTAAATATTTTTTATGTCCTCGACCACATGATATGGTTTTCAAGGAAGTTCACGTGGGGGATCACATTAGTAAACTTTGAACGAGTAGGCCATAAATTTACCCTTTTTTTTTTTTTTTGTTCTCTACAAAAATATAGATGTTTCCCATTATTCTGTGCACACAACCTCACATATTACTTAACTGATTTACTAATCCCCCACATCAAACAAAACAATACATTTGAACTATAAAAACATGAAACCAAACATGATCTGTGTTATTTATAATCAGAAATAGCATATTCAATATGATAATAGTAGAATGGCCCTTTAATTATTATAATAAAATGCCCTTTAATTATTATAATAAAATGCCCTATAATTATTACTATAACAAGCCAACAGTGAGGCTGATGTCCCCCGCCGAAATAGGAAAATAATTAGAGGACACATATAAATTTATCACAAATAAGCGGAACGGACAGACAGACAAACAGACAGACGGACGAACCCATTTTAATAGTTCCCTGCTTTCTTCGAAAGGCGGGGGACAATCAAAGTAGGAGAGTTATTGTTTTCCAAAGTCTCGACCAATCAAATTGCGTATCGCTCTGCTTACCCTGAGCAGAAAATGCTCATTATCAAACTTAGTCAAGGTATTACTGTAATGAAACTATACACCAAGTTTCATCAATCTCACTTAATTAGAACTAAAGTTATCGTGTCCCAAAGCATCAACCAATCAAATTGCTTATCTCTGCTTACCCTAAGCGGAAAATGCTCATCTTCGAACTCCATCAAGGCATTGACCTAATCAACACATACACCAAGTTTGAACATTCTAGCTCAATTAGGAAGAGAGTTATCGTGCCCCAAAGTATCAACCAATCAAATTGCTTATCTCTGCTTACCCTAAGCGGAAAATGCTCATCTTCGAACTCCATCAAGGCATTGACCTAATAAACACATACACCAAGTTTGAACATTCTAGCTCAATTAAAAGTTATCGTGTCCCAAAGCATCAACCAATCAAATTGCTTATCTCTGCTTACCCTAAGCTGAAAATGCTCATCTTCGAACTCCATCAAGGCATTGACCTAATCAACACATACACCAAGTTTGAACATTCTAGCCCAATTAGGAAGAGAGTTATCGTGTCCCAAAGCATCAACCAATCAAATTGCTTATCTCTGCTTACCCTAAGCGGAAAATGCTCATCTTCGAACTCCATCAAGGCATTGACCTAATAAACACATACACCAAGTTTGAACATTCTAGCTCAATTAGGAAGAGAGTTATTGTGTCCCAAAAAGTGTGACGGACAGACAGACGGACAGACAGACAGACGGACAGACAGACGGACAGACAGACGGACGAACCCATTTTAATAGTCCCCTGCTTTCTTCGAAAGGCGGGGGACAATAAAATAAGACAGTGGGGAGTATTACAAATGATGGCTATATGCATAAAGGTAGATATATGCTATTATGTAAACTGGTTATTGTCCTATAAAGAGACAGTTATCAAGGACTTTGGATGATGACGATGGTTATCTCGGCTCAATTATTAAACTTGTCCTTCAGAGGTCAAAGAGATCATACTTGAAGATAAAGTGACAGGTCTCTTATAATTTTGTGCTACTGGCTTAATTATATTTTGTTTATTACTAGTACTAAATTTTGTTAAAATATATCACATAACTATAAGGTGCCACTACATTTTAACAGGGTCCTCAGCAGTTGCCTTGGTTTTTTTTTCTCTGTTGTAAATGGAATATACATGTGGAATGCAATATATTGTTTGAGAAATGGAGTATTTTTTCACCTGGAATGTCTTTTGATAGTATTAAAACAAAATTAACAGTTTAGAAATGCAAATAAATTTATCAAGATCATATTGAAGTGTAATTTGGGGTTATATATAAGATACCAAAATCAGGGTTAAACAATAAAGTTATATACATGTACCAAACAAGTCAAAGTCATAAAAATATGGAATATAAGAGAAATATGGAAAGAGTGGATTGAGACAGATGAAAAAAAACCTACAATAAGACATTTTAAACAGGATAATAACATTATTTACTATATATAGAGTTTATAAATGCATTTGATATTGTTAATGTCATTTTTCTTTACCATACATTGTTATAATCATACATATCAATTATAAATATTATAATATAGCACTATTTAATCAATAATAGGAACTCTTATCATTGAGAACTGACACTGGTACGTTCTTCACCAATATCAGAACTATCAGAAGGATCAGTACTTGTTCTTTGCTGCCATATTGCAACTGTTTGATCGCTATAGAAAGAAAGAAAGAAACAAAAATATTATTATATACAATTTGAGACTAGATGTATGTATGGTACTTTATTCTATCACATTTTCTATACATAGAACTACAGGAAGAGTGAGAATGAAATGGGGTTTAATGTCCACTCAACACAATCTATGTCATTTAGGACTAACACTATTTCAATAATTTGTTTGGGCGTAGCAATCTTTAACAGGGGAGGGGAAACTGGAGGACCTGGAGAAAACCCAAGATGTTAGACGATTAGGCCATCCAGCACCCTTGGACCTACAGGATGATGTTGGAAATAAAGATATAAATTAACATGATGATTAAATACAGATTATTTGTATGTTATATAAACAGTAATTAATGAATATAATAACCTACTGTGCATGCTATATATAGATCAGTTAGTATAAACATATATAATTAATACATCACAGATTAAGGCCATTATTATAGTAAAATATTCTCTCTTATAATACTGTCTATTTTCCCTTACTTCTTTCATAACAATGAATAAATTAACATTTGTGTAAAATAAGAATATATAGTCAGCACTCCTTGTTTTTACAATTCATATATACACCTAAAACACTTTCACTCTGTGTCATGTTTAGAAACACACTGATTAGATCCCATGAAACCTTGGATTCATTTGTATTTTCAGTACTTTACATTCAAAATAATAAGGCTGCAAAAGCAAGTCAAAATTTACTCAAAATGCTTTTATGCATAAAATATAAATATAAGCAACAAATAAAAAAGCAATCTATATTACCGGTATACTGAAAAACAAGGAATTAATGTGAACCGTTCAAAACTTCCTTTTGATACATTTTAATGGCGGTGCATAAAAGCTAATTTACAGAAGAGCTAGCTTAAATATACCCCTCTATTAATGTCTTCGATGAGGCCACGACATTGTCTTATATCAGTAATAAACACAAAAACATAATATGAGAAACAATTACTATTTTAATCTAAGTGACATTATCAAGCAAATGATTAATTAAAATAAGAATTGTGTTCCGTATTATGTTATTTACGTAATTCAATTATTATATGTCGCTCAAAGAAGATATTAATCACTGTTAATTATTTTCATACTTTATTAGTGGACTAGAGATTTCCACTATTTCAGTCTGTTCATTAGAAACAGTTTTAAAAACGTTTTTTCATTTTACTTCAAGGTATTACCATCAGGATTGTTCTTCTCTAGAAGAAATATGACCCATGGAGATTGTAATGGAAACTGTTTTTCGACTGTTCTCTGTTTCAATACATGTAATTTAACTTTGAAATGTATGGTATACCTTATTTCGTTCAATCATTATAGAGATTTTATGGTATACCTTATTCCGTTTAATCATACAATCATTATAGAGATTTTATGGTATACCTTATTCCGTTTAATCATACAATCGTTATAGAGATTTTATGGTATACCTTATTCTGTTCAATCATACAATCGTTATAGAGATTTTATGGTATACCTTATTCCGTTCAATCATACAATCGTTATAGAGATTTTATGGTATACCTTGTTCCATTCAATCATACAATCGTTATAGAGATTTTATGGTATACCTTATTCCGTTCAATCATACAATCGTTATAGAGATTTTATGGTATACCATATATTCCGTTCAATCCTACAATCGTTCCAGAGATTTTATGGTATACCTTATTCCATTCAATCCTACAATCGTTATAGAGATTTTATAGTATACCTTATTCTGTTCAATCATACTATCATTATAGAGATTTTATGGTTTACCTTACATTTCGTTCAATCATACTATCATTATAAAGATATTTGGGGACTGGTAAGGGAGAGAAATGGGGTTTAACGTCCACTCGACACAAACTAGGTCATTTTGGGACTAACATATGGTTCAATTTTATTTCAATAATTGGAGATTGGTAGTAAAGGATGCTGTAGATTGGAGGTAGGTTGTATTTTATGCATTAAATCTTTGCTTGCATTAATTTCTTGTTTTACAGTATTTACACAATCACAGTTAATGCAATTAGATACAAAAATGTCAGGGATTATTACAACTTTATATCAAATACTTTTTGTATACAATTTTTAAGTAATTCATTTTAAAGCTCAATTTAAAAGGACACTTGTATATTACACTGGTATCTATTGGTAGCCTTTGAATAAAAGTAAAACATATGTATAAATCTATATAATTACTGCCTAAATCATCATCAATTATTTGGTTGTTTATTTTTTCATCAAACAAACCACTCTCTGTGAGATCTGCTATTTGTACGATGATATTGCCAGAATTTAACTGATAGTTCACTGAAAACATAATGAGTTAATATTAATAAATTAGTTTAAATACACAACTAGATATATAACCCGTGATTTCGTCATTTTTATTTTTTGAAATTTATAAACCAATCAGATATCATATTCCTGAAGTAATGATTACAAAATGAAAGGGGCTAATATAAGCAGGCATAGACCATACTTTGCCATGAAGGAATATTGTGACAATGTCATTTATGCCTAGACCTTGTTAAATTCAAACTACCGAGGGTTCATTTTACATGTAACCTAACCTTGGTTTTTCGTCCCATTCTAACAACCAGATACTGTTCTGAGAAAATACAATGGGAAACCATGCTGGAAAATCGAGAGGAATTCTATTGGCCAACACTGGGATCAAACCCCAGAACCACTGGTCAGTGAGCGCCTTACCAACTGTGTTACCATATGTTACTATATGAACTTCTACACTAAACACAGACTTTCTCTAGGATTAGCAACAGGGCTTCCACTTAAAAATTTTCACTGTTGGTCATTTTTGATAATGCACAAAAACTTTGCAAATTAAATTCATATTTCATGTTCTTTTTTATTTATTAATGAAATATTCCCTTTTGACTATTTAAATTGCTTTTATTATCGAAATATCTTACTTGGCCGTAGAAAAATCATTCCAGTAGCTCACACATATAACCACATGCTCTATAGAAAACACACTGATCTTGATAATTTCGAGTTGGAATACAATAACTTAGAAATGAAGATAAATATATAATTATCCATGCCATATTTCTTTCATTTCTCGGTTTTAAGGCGATCTCTTACAGAATGAGGATTGCGATGTAAATCCTATTGAATAACTAATTCTAATGACAGACTAACTTCACAACAAGCAAAAATAGCACTCCCTAGTGCTATTCTATTTATAACAATAAACATATATACGACATGTGGATGAACAATAATGCTATAAAATAGCACTGGAATATGTAATTTTCTTAATTTTTCGGTAAGCATGTTTACTCATCGCTAGCTTTTATTTCTGCAATTCCCCCCAAGACCATAATGCCGCTGTATACATTTTTCTCCCAATATGTTGAGGATTTACCTAATTTCAATGCTGTTTTTATTTAATATGACAGTACTTCATATCTGATTGCCGTTTTTTTCGAGGATCATAATAATCTCATTTACACCGTGTGTTACCGTAATAGAGGTATAGCAACTTTGTTCTAGAACATTCTTTATATGACACGTGGGTGCTCGAATAGAGAATAACTAACAATGAACCGCTTCACGTCATTTATAAGTTTCCAATATAACAATTAACTTTTATTATTCTACTACTAGACATTCATCTTTAATCATCAACACAACACTCCAAATTTAATCTGATGACAACTATGTATACAACTTTATAACATCAATCATGAGACGCCCAAATTCAAATTGAAAACATTTGGTGCCAGATCTTTTTCATATATCTCTGCAACGCTTTGGAATTCATTGCCCCAAAAACTAAAGTCTGTTGAAACATTAACATCATTTAAATCAAACCTATCTTTTCAAACGTTATATTTAAATATGACATTAACATGTGCATTATGTGTTGTAGTGTGTTTGGTGTGTGGTCAGTGCTTAGAACATTTCCCTATCGTGATGTGGATTTTAGCGCATTATAAGACTCATTATTATTGTTATTATTATTATGTGGCTTCTATATGTTTGCATTATTTGTACAGGCCGTAGAATTCTATAGTTACATGGCGGAGGTCTATAGCAGCCATGTTTGAAGATTGGGTTTTGAAAAATACACTATTTTTCTGGCTTGCAAAATGATTGATGGGTTAGATCTAGTTTCAGTCATTTTCCATAGCTCTCGGCCGTGACCGGCATATATGGCCGACATGGAACTCATGATTAGGAACCAGGTAAATGGCCCCTGTGTTAGTTATCATTGATACAGCTGCCTTGAGATTTGATCTATTGAGTGATGCATGTAGTGACTGAGAGATAACAATCACCAATAATTACTATTTAATCTTTAAGATGTTTAAAGAGCTGGTATCTGTAACCATTGCTTCAGAAATATCATCTGATATATTCCTCATAAAACAGAACTACAAATATTAGCCAACATTCATAAACAACTGAAATAACTTGCAAGACAAGATGTAGTTTTACATGCTATTATTGTTTTCCTTTATATTGTCAGTAACTCAAAAATGCAAAACACAATTCTGAATTCTAAAAATGGTCAAAATCAGAAGATTCATATTTTTCCAATGCAACAAAATCACAGGTTTCTATAGAGTAGAAATAAAAGATGTGTTATTTTAATAGAATAAAGAACATATTGTCAGTAGAAATAGTATTGTTTAGTAAAACTAATTGATAATGTTATTATATTGCCATCTTCATGAAATTAAATTAAATAACTAAGAAGGTAGATTGTCTACGAATTAAACTCTAGTATCTTATAGTTCTCTATACATCTATTTCAATTTTATATAATTTATCAAAATCCAAATAATTAATTTCATTATTAAAGATAAAACTAATTCCAATTAAATTGATTATCCATGTATTCTGTTTGTTTTTCTTGCACCTAACGAGCAGAAGGAATTTCACACTGCTCCAAGAAGATAAGATTGCAATTTAGAGTAAGAATGGTTATTAACTTTATATCATAAAGAAGAAAGAGAACATGCTACTATATAATTCAAACTGCTAAAACTAACTAGTAAATTATATCATTATTTAACTATGTATTTTAAGCTAATGCCAGTTATATATATATATAATATAGTTAAGGAGAAGAAAGCTATTTCAAATGAATGCTTACCTCCATACAAGGCTCTATGTAATAAACAGGTACTTACTTTGAAGCTGTAAAGATGGAGGTACTATTGGTTGCTATGGCGTTGATGGGACTACTATGAGCTTTCATTTCACCAACTAAAGCACATGTATCTGATTGCCATAGTTTAACATAACCTCCCCTACAACCACTAATTAACAAACTTGTACTAGGTACAAAACCTAAAGCACATATCCAGTCTTTATGTGCTGTATTCATCGACTACAAAATACAAATTTAAAATTAAATGTTAATAAGTAAAGAGGCATTATACAAGATCTAATCTTGCCTAGTGCTTGGCGTGTGTATGGCTTCAAATGTTATATAAACAAGCCAACAGTGAGGCTGATGCTCCCCGCCGAAATCCCAAAATAAATAGATGACACATATTAATTAATAGCACATTTTTTTTTTTCAAAAGTATCAAACAATCAAACTGATTATCAACTATACACTAAGTTTGATCATTCTTTATCAGATAGAATCAATGATATCTTGTCCCAAAGCATCGGCCAATGAAATTGCTTAGCTCTGCTTAACTTTAGCTCGAAATGTTACTCATTGAACTCAGTCAAGACATTCACCTAATGAACATCTACATCAAGTTTAAACATTCTACCTCAAATAAATAGCAGAGTTGTTATGTTCCAAAGTCTTGACCAATCAAATTGCTTATTGCTCCTTAGCCTAAGCAGAAAATTCTCATCATCAACTTAGTCAAGGTAATGATATATTGAATCTAAACTCGGAGTTTCATCACGCTCACCTAAATAAAACCAACGTTATCGTGCTCCAAAGCATCAACCAATCAGATTACTTACCTCTGCTTACCTTAGGCAAACAATGTTTGTCATTGAACTCCATCAAGGCATTCACCTAATGAACACCTACACCAAGTTTGAACATTCTACCTCAATTTGGAGAGTTATTGTGTTCGAAAGTCTGGACCAACTGCTTATCGCTCTGCTTAACCTGAGCGAAAATGCTCATTATCGAACTTAGTCATGGTATTGATGTAATAAAACTATAAACCAAGTTTCATCACTCTTACTTAATTAGAACTAACGTTATCGTGTCCCAAAGCATCAACCAATCAAATTGCTTATCTCTGTTTACCCTAAGCAGAAAATGCTCACCTTCGAACTCCATCAAGGCATTGACCTAATAAACACCTACACCAAATTTAAACATTCTAGTTCAATTAGAGAGAGTGTTATTGTGTACCAAAAATTGTGATGGACAGACATATGGCGGTATATTAGATTCAAAATTCTAACATGCTATCGTCTAATTTCTAACCTCCGTTCATGTAACTTCTAACCTTAATTCATGTAACTTCTAACCTTAATTCATGTAATTATGGCGGTATATTAGATTCAAAATTCTAACATGCTATCGTCTAATTTCTAACCTCCGTTCATGTAACTTCTAACCTTAATTCATGTAACTTCTAACCTTAATTCATGTAATTTCTAACTTCAATTCGTGTAATTTCTAAATTAAGACAATGTATAATCCAACTTCTTTATTTGTTCAGTGTTAATTTTAATTCTATTTCATCTTATTTCTATTATTTAGACGAAAAACGTCTTCTTCATTGATTCTTTACACGTTTAGAATTTTTACACTTCTGCCTAGCAACCATCATTATGAAGTCGTTTGGTGTCGTCACTGCGTGCTCATTTGGTGATTGCGCACCTGGTAGGGAACATTATGTTTATATAAACGACTCGCTCTTCGCCTGGTTGGTGATTGGGTGGAGTGATGAGAGAGAGAGAGAGAGAGAGAGAGGGGGGGGTAACGACCACTCGGCACAAACTAGGTCATTTCTGGACTAACATATGGTTCAATTTATTTCAACAATTCGCTTGCGCGTAGGGGTCTTTAGCAGTGGGAGGACCCGGAGAAAACCCACGAGGTTGGACAGACGACCCTACTCCTTGACAAGTACAACCAGGGATTCGATGGTGAAATTGAAAACAACATTGAACATGAAATGGTTGGTAAATACTACTTCAAATAAAAGCCAAACAGAATTTTTTTTTTCAATTTTCTTGAAGACAGTTAAGCCATCAATAATATTTATTTACTGTTAATCTGTATTCTATTACCTCTAACAAAAATGATAAACCTTTTCTTGATATGGTTCAATGATATAAATTTAGAAACCTCATACTGTAGGGATGAAACGGCCTTTTCGGGAGTCTGGGATAATCTGTTCATGTGGATAGCAATGGAGTTTTTATTTCTGATTCCTTCATTACACCGACCAGATTAACTTTATGGTAGTTTTTTTTCCAAAAATATTTTATTCAAGTTGCATAAAGCAATACTGAAATTCATAGATAGCGGTTTATCGTCCTACTTTTCTACACCATCCAGGCTAATGAAGACGAACTTACGGTGTGCCATGAGTGAAATTTATGGTCTACTTTTATTACGAATAACAGCTGCAACGGTTTTCGTCCGACCCGAACTACTAGACACTGTATATGCCTACAATAACGGCAACCTCCGCAAATCACAAGGACGGAACTAATAATGTCAGAAATATTATAAAGCGTAGTTTTGCCAGTGTGTATACTAGCTGACGATGTTATATAACCCATTGACATATATTTTTTTTTATGATATAACCGCCATATTCCGGCGTGGTTATCCGGCCCTTGTTATTGATACAAGACGAGGGTCTGACACGTACAGTGGCTAGTCGTTCGGGTAGTATAAAGAGACATATTTTAGAGCATTAACAGAATAAATTATAGATCAACAGTATATAAATAGTAATTGGCTTAACTGTAAAATAAAAATAAAATAAAATTCTCCAAATCCTGCACTTGTCTTTAAAAAAAATAACAAATGCTGTTTAGCTTATATTTAAAACAGTATTTGCAAACCATATCACGTTCGATGTTGTTTTCAATTTTTACATTCCGCCAAACCATTCAACCTGACGAAGAGCGAGTCGTTTGTGGCAACATAATGATCCCGCTCAGTGCTCAATCACCAAATTGAGCACACGGTGGCGACACCAAACGACGTCATAATGATGGTTGCTAGGTAGAGGTATCAAAATTCTAAATTTGCTCGACGTTCATGATTAACATGTAAAGTGACAATGAAGTAGACATTTTTCGTCTTAACAATAAAAATAAGACGAAACAGAATTAAAATTTACACTGAACAAATAAAGAAGTTGGATTATACATTGTCTTAATTTCGAAATTACACGAATTGAAGTTAGAAATTACATGAATTAAGGTTAGAAGTTACATGAACGGAGGTTAGAAATTAGACGATAGCATGTTAGAATTTTGAATCTAATATACCGCCATACAGACAGATGGACGGATGAACCCATTTTAATAGTCTCCTGCTTTCTTCGAAAGGCGGGGGACAATTATTATTTAGACATTTATTCACAAGACCAGCCCATATTTAACTCTCAAGACCAACAGATGGCTTAGATATTGAGTGAATTAGACAATGCTTGTCATATCCTTGATAAATGACGATATTGCCGGAGACTGTCGAAGAAAAGACTGAAAATGGAGACTTTCTTTTTATCATAATAGCAATGGTATTGTCAAAACTGAAAAAGATTAACAACTTCCCTCAGAATAAAGTAATTTGAATGAAATTTTCAATATATTCATTTTTCATTATATATTTTGGAACTATTATATCAAGAATGACCAGCTTTCTCTAAATCTTGCATAGTGTATCTCTAACTAACCATGGAAGAAAACCAATTTGTAACTGAGGACTAACAACTCACAACTACAATTTCAAAAGGCTGGGGACAACAAAGATAATTATAACTTGAGAATTACTGATTTCCTGCATTGTTTAGATTTGAATATATTTACCTGTTCTAGCTGTTGATTGGTTAAATCCCATTTTTTGATACAGGAATCTCGAGATCCACTAAATAACGTGTTACCAGTTATAGCTAAAGATTGGACACCATCATAATGTGGAGGCTCGAGATTATATTTAGGTGATAAAACTCCAGCAGCTTCATCTATCACTTCAAATATCTACAATATATACAGCATATTACACGTTTCTTCACAATTTATCACAATATAAACCCATAATATCTATAAAAGCTGGTTACCTGACATTCAGCCTCAGGGGCAGTGGTACTGTAGTTGCCAATCCCAAACCAACAAACAGACACAAATATAAATACAGGAATCAAGGGGTGTGGGGGGTGGCAACAGGAGGCTGGACAGGCTGGTAGATCTGTGTAGCTGCTGGATCAAACGATGATGCCCGTGAAGAGCAGACAGTAATGGATATTTAAAAATCCCAGCACAACAGCAGTACAAAAACATGAATAAACCCCCTCTCATTTCAACCTAAAGTCTGTTTTTATACTGATGTTGTGCAGATATTTTTACATATCTGTAAAGAAAGATCTGCAACAGAGTTGTATACAAGATGACATTGAGTTCATTGTCTGTATTATTTTGGTCTTTCTATTATTTTATTAAAGAGAAGATGAATCTTTACAATGTGTGAATAATAAAGCAGTAATATACCTTGATATAATGATCTTTCGAACCAGTAACAACTAAACTACTTGTTTCATCATGTTTTACAGCTAACACCATTACAGCTGCTTGATGACCACCACTTAATTTACCTACAGCACTAAACCTAGTAATATACAATTGTTTATTTATTTCATTCATGTAATCAGCCCTGGGTATATTGCAACAATTTGTTTAATAAATTATCTACTATTTAATCTAATTTGCTTTGATGAATGGTGATACCACTCATATCTGAATTGACTCTCTTCAGTCACATTTCCCACATTAGGGTCGTTAGGACATGTTACAGCTTTTCACATAAATCTTTGATGAAGCCTAACATGGGCCATCTTAATAGCCATTCTGATCAAAAACCTGGTGCATCAAGCAAAGACATTCTTATTAATGTGACTCTGATATCAGCTATTGAAATTCATTGTTTGTATACCAACAATTTTATACTCAATTTTACTTGATTTTCAAGAACCCCCTTTTCCCCAATGGCCTGCCTTGACTTTGCAGACCCTCAAACTTTGTTTCGACCACAAGTTGGGGAAACAGTATTATACTTAATTAGTTTGGCAAAATAATTCAATATTTTGTTCATTTTAAGTTTGATAATACCATTTGTTGTCAACAATCTCGTAAAATAATCGTTTGAGAATATGCTGATTGTATTACAATGTTAATCATGAAGAGATATGTAAATAGTTATAGAGTTGTCCTTACCTTCTGAGATCCCAGACACGAACAATATTACCAGTAGCACAATATAATGTTATACCATCATCACTTAAAGCTACATCATTTATATGATGTTCACCTGGTGCTAAATCTATCTGTCTATTAGCTGTATAATTAACAGTACCATTAGCACTTAAACCTGATGAACTGTAATAATACAATATATCATAATCACATTCAAGTCATATTCTGTCATGATTACTGACAGATAATACAATACTAAAAAAATTATTTTACTGTAATCAATCCAAAGCTGAAGGTATTACAAGAATGATTTAAGGCTTAAATAATCAAATCTTTTCAGTATTCTATTTCTAACAAAAAATTATTCCCAAATGTAATAGTCTATGTCCACAGAAAATACTTTGCTCAGAGCTCCATGCCGTTTGTCCATACATCCCCAGCTTTAAAAATTTGACTTACCTGAGTGTTTTGATACATTTATTAGAATTTTCTCTAATATCCCACACTTTAATATATGATTGAGACACGGTAAAAGTCATTTTATTTTTCTCTGAATATTTGACTTTTAAGACATTATTAGGATGACCTGTATATGAGAACAGTTCTTTTCCTGTTTGTAAATCCCATGTTTTAGCTGTACGATCTGGAAAATACAAGAAGAGAATTAAGCAACATGTCAACTTGTAAATTAATAACAATAGGGATGCATGCTTTAAAATCTACACACCTATTAGTCAAGTTTGTCCATTGCATGAGAATAAATAAGGGGACAGACTAGAAAATTTATACCCATTAGATAGGTCGTGGAAATAATGCTTCACTAAAAAAATAAATTGTTAACCCACTGAACATTGTAGCCTTGGTTTGAGAAATGAAGTAACTAAATGTAAGAACTAACCTTTACTACCAGTAAATAAGAGATCATCAGTAGCATCAACAGATAGAACAGCTTTAGTATGACCACCAGCTGTATGTGTACAGGTCAAAGGTGAACTCCGACCACCAACAGGTCGATTATTGTATGAAGCTTGTATACTTCCTCTACAAAAATATAAATAAAGCCATAAAATAAAGTTATCAGTCTCAGACAATCCTTCAAAAAATTCTGACGTGGGATGGAGGTTTCTATTTTTGTGTTTTTTTATCTTGTCAAAGGATCACATTTCAAGGTTTTATAGTTATCTCATCTTCATGCTATTTATAGGAATTCACTTAGTTACATGTACCAATTCTGTTGTCACATATTTGACATATTAAAACCTTTTTGGCCTGACACAAAAATAATCCCCATCCAATAAATTATGAATGCATCTAAAAGAGGTGCTGGTGCAATGAATGAATTATTTAAAATAAAAAACACCACTACAACACAATTTATTTATTTGGAAAAGCAATCAATGTCAATGGTTTGCACACATATGGCAAGTTTCAACGAGTGTTCTTTTATCGTTAACAAGCACAGAATATAAACAACAGCCACCATTGTTTATACGATGACTGCAATTTAAGTGCCGTTTTTTTAAAACAATATATAGTTCATGTCATACTTTAAAACTATACATTCAAAGTCATGCTGTCAATGTATCATTAACAACCAAGTAAATTATGTGGTATTTTACACTACAATCATCAATGAAAAGATAGGTTGCCAGGCAACAAAGCATACGCCCACAGCAGCTATGTCGTCCGGGGAGTCAACAAAGGTTGTCTCATACTTTTTCTTATGTCAGTAATGAAAACATTTACAACACACTAGAATCTGATTATGAGTAACAATCCATTTGGCTTCTAGTTCTGCCCAATTCTAACATTTAGCATACAAAACATTTAATATCAATTGCTATAATCATGAATAAATATAAAGTCAATCGAATATTAACTTTAGCCTCTAAAGCATCCACAAGTTTTTTCAAAGTGATCAAGGGCCATAACTCTGACAGTAATTATAAGAAATCGTTGAAAATCAATAGCATTCTTCGCCTCATGACCGTAAAAGCTATGTATAAATATAAAGTCAATCAGATATTGACTTTAGCCTCTAAAAGGTCCAGAAGATATTTTAAAGTGATCAAGGCCCATAACTCTAGCAGTAATTATCTGAACTCTTTGAAAATCAATGACCTTAAACACTGTGTGTAAAGTCGGGGCGACGACAATATACAAGGATATGGCATTAAAAATTGGTAATAGACGTACAATGAGTTAAATAGTCATTACAGTTTGCATAATATTGATCAGTATAAATAATGAAAGTACCTGTTAGGATTTGGTGAAGGTAGTACTGTATTACTGGTTAAACGTGAGAAAACATTATCATCTGAACTACGGAATGATCGTCTAGTTGCTGTTGGTGATGTTGGTGGTGTAGTATCTGACGATAAATCTCTGAGAGATAACAAATAAACCAATTCATCAACAGAAATAGTACATACTGACCCACTTATTTCAAAAACATTACCTGCCAGCAATTTCCAACATGACAATCTTATATAACTATTTCTTTAATTTAAATCTTGTGAAAGAAAACTTGATTGTATATTAACGTTAAATATTTTAATTTCAAGGAATCAAGTCTAGAAATTAGCCACCTGTTACTGGCAATGTCCAGTACAACTTCAAGCATTGTCAGGTACAACTCATCTGGTGGTCAGGACACAGATTTCTCTATTTTCTGTGTTGTTTTTGTAGATATTTTTAATAAATATCTTGTACAAAGTTAAAAATGTCAGGCACGAATAATAGACAATTTGTCAAACATGACTAAGATCGTTTTTCAGAACATGCCATTAATTACTAGATATTTTTAGGTTAAATAATTATGAAGACTATACTAACACTGAACTAGATCGTGACAGAGAATCAGGTTTATAGGTTTTTCGTCTCATGGCTGGTGATGGTTCTGGACTTTTAGGGTATTCTTTACGTCTCATACTGGGTGATGGTCCTGAATTTAATCTACCACTTGCACTTCTACAAAAAAAAATAACACACACATTTAAATTCTTTATAAAGACACGTGTCTTTTAAAGACATTTTCCTGGCAACTAGATTTAAAACATCTTGACTGTTGAATGTGTTCTGGCCAACACTAGGATTTGAACCCAGTGCATCCTATTTGAGAGTCCAGTGCCCTAACTATTCGATCACCACAGCCTCCATATGAGTATGAATTAAATCTAAGAGAATTATAACCTTGTCATGGTTGGAGCTTTAGATGGTATAATTTTGGGTGGTGGCATTGCATTAACATCACCACTATCTTCTTGTTTCTTTAACTCTTCTTCTAGATTTTCTTTCTGTTCATCTGGTGTTTCCAGTACTGGTAACAAGGGGGTATCTTGAGTACCACAGGCATACAGTAAATCAGCTGGGGTAGCCGTTTTTCTTCTAGCCTGTAGAAAAGCCATTATATATATAATAAGATATTTCTCAATTAGTACAATAAATTGTGACTCAACAAATATCACTTAACAAAACAGTTTACAAGGACAAACAATAAACATGTTATGTATATTTGACCTTAACATAAGGTTACACTTTTAGGTTAGACTGCCATAATAATTTAGATAATCGTTAAAAATCTATGAGATTGCTCATTTCTAAGAAATATTATTTAGAAAAGAAAAAGATTTGGATACAAGATGTATATTATTCAGAACGTAGACATTTAGACGGAAGGGTTAGAATTTAAAAGTCATAGATTTTATAGTGTTTTTGAAAATATTTTCTTAATGTATATTCATTTAAAAATTTCAGAATTAATAAACATTGATTGTGAGGAATGAAGCTGTATCTATGAAAGGATAAAACAGTCATATAATAAGATTGAGAAATAAAATATAGAACATGCATAGTTTTATGTGTTTGTTCAATGAGTCAATTATATGATATAAATTTACACATGTATGAAAATGTAATATAAAATATATTTTAGTAGTAATCACTGAATGCCATAACCAATATCTTAAAACTAATAGTGAATTCCTGTATATTAAATAAATACTGTCCTATAGTGTCCTGTGTTATCCTGACTATAATAATTGATGTAGTTTATTGATGTTTAGATACTGTGAATATAATATATATATAGTGTTGTTATGGTGCCTATATAAACCTACCGGTACAAGACTTAATCTACCATGAAACTGGAAATAATAACATTTAACATGCTCATTGTAATATTGTAGTAGGAAAACAAATTAAACATGCATTCTCTGTCATTAATATCTATCAAAACCGTTCATCATGCTGCACATAAACACACACACTTTGTATACATGGGAGATCAATGTTCTTTTACCTATTTAGAAACATCTTTCCCGGTTTCTTTTATCAATATAAAATTAGCCCCTTAAAATACCCCATCAAATGACTATTAATGCTTTTTGTCATTTTGATTCAAGACTAACCTATGATAATTTATTATGATAATATGGGGAACAATTTTCCTATCTGTCAGAAGACTTGATACATTACCTCAGCAGCCTTTATATATCTATGCACTAGGGCTTAATAAGAACCTGCATTCTAAATTTGAACAATTCTTTCTTTAAAGAAAATGTTTGATATTTGACTTGAAGTAATTTATATACATGTATATATAAACTATAATTGTATGATATTTCCTTAGAAGTGGAATTTAACAATCATAAATTTGATTCAATTACGATTCATATGAATGTACAGTTTTTAAGATAAAATCATTAAATCTAAATATAAGTATTTAGTGTACGTTTCTACGGCTAGCCATATATTACATAAAAGGCTTTTTTTTCCTTTTTTTCCCGAAAGATATATATTATGCCGTTATTTATTTTGTTCACTTCTAAGGATAACCAATCATACAATGTGATTAAATGATTTTGTAGACTACCTTTATAGGTAAAGCTCTAGACAAGATAGATGGATGCCTTCGTCTGTAGTATTTCTCTCTCCTATACCTAGTTCCGCCATAATATTATTGTAATAGGATAGCATTCATATAGGTTTTATAATATTATTTCAATATAGCTGAATAATACACAAGATACATTCCTGTTGGATCAAAAAATTCATTCTTAAAGGAGGTTGAATCGAGAATAAAAATCATGTCTACAATACACAGCCAGAACTACTCATTTCCCCTATAATTAACTAATCAAAATGACTGTCAGGAATTGTCAGTCACTGCTGATAAACAAAATCACATGCTTGAGTCACAATACTTGTACTCTGTCATTGTAGCATGTACACTGATTTGTTTGTTTTGTTTACAATGGATGAGTTACCCTTTTAATTTGCTAATTAAAGACTGAACAATTTCTACATTGGGTTGAACATAGTTTAAACTATTTCAATACCAAATAATGAATAAAATAGAAAACATTTAGAATAATAGAACTTCTCCTTTAAGAATATCTTAATGTTTCTGCACATTATTCAGCTATGTTTATTATAATCTATACAATATGATAAATAAAAGGATATATAACCTGGGAACCCAACGAATAATGACAAACAGATGGGAATCCAGGTCCACAATAATATGCTACTAACCTTCTCTCGTTTAGAAGCTAGATCACTTGCCGTAGCAATGATTCCGACTTGAGACAGGGGTGCCAAACTCTCGAACATGCTGAAGGCAGGAGGGGAAGGGAAGGTCAAAAATAAAGTGTGCAACAAAAAAAAAAATTAAACTTAAAATTGGATATAACTCAATCAACAAAAGAGGTAAAATCACCAAATACAAAATGCATAATCTACTATCGTTGTCTTGAGGTAATCTTGTGTAATTATTAATTTTGCAGTAAACACTTCAGTAGTGTGTATATAGTTTTATCACAGAGTATGCTTTTCAACAAATAATATAAAAACAGTTATTACAGTTTAACATAAATTATCTTTTTAGCTTGTAAAAAATGAAATTGCATAACAATTAAAATATACCTATAAATCATTTGACAACAAATAATTGTAATATACAAAATAATATCACAATAAACACTGCAAACAACCAAAACTCATGATCATGCTGCCTGTGCAGTTCAAATAAAAAACATTAAGCATTGCAAAGGGATTTAAGGGTCCATGAGTGGTTGGATGTAATTGAAGAAAAGAAATGATTGATGGATTAATTCATTATTTTAATGAGATTATATTAATATTATAGAATGAAAATATTGTCAACATCATTGACTATTACCAACTACTGACTTATCTATTTACTTACCATGTTTATACAGAGTTCTCAACAAAACAAATTATTAATCATATCTGTTGTTTGTAGGGTTTAAGGCCCACTTCCATCGTAGGTAATATTGCATGCAATTTGTCTTATTTTTGTATATTCAGCGCATGCACAAGTGTCTTTCCTATGGATTGGGAGGAAACAGGAGTAAATCCACAAGGTTCAGAAAGCACACCTATCTCCCAGAAACATATGCTTACCAAAGGATCAAAACCAATTCTAGACCACAAGGCCATTCCAAACCCCATTAATCATGTTCAAATTATCCTATTATTCCTATATTTCAATCATAAACCCACTAGAAAACAAGTTATCCATATGTTAACCCGTACTGGCATGATAAGGAAGAAATTTTGAAAATTGAGTTATTGTTATTATCACATTCTCCAACTCTATATCTTCAATTTTATGTATAGTTTGTTTGATGGGCAAAAATTGACTGAGCTGTGTCTGTTTGAAGCAAGTCAAAGATCTGGTATGTTCCAAAACAAAATCCCATAGCAACCAGGCCATTTATTTGCTGTTCTGTCATTGAATATTTCTTTCTCCTGGTTTTGAGGGGTGCTGAGGACGAAAATCATAGTAAAAGTTTGACCCAACAATTTCTGCCATCTTTTTTTTTTCAAAATGGCCGCCAAACTTTTGAGTTTTGACAAGTTATGTGTTTATTAATGTCATTTATGGGTTTTTAGGGGTGCTGCATACAAAACTTGCTATGTGTGTGTGGACACATGTTTGTGAAAATCTCAATTTCGATCAAAATGAATATTTTCACTTATTTTGTCTGTCATAATTAGATTTTGAGCATTCCAACTCATTTTGCCAGCATGGGTCACATATGTTGATTATTAATCTTTTTAATAACTACACACATGTAATCTATTCACGATCTTAGTATATGCCAGGAATGTAAAATTGTGTATGTTAATGTTTGACATTCCCAATATTGTTTATCAATTGAATATGGGCATCATAGGGTAACATCTTCGGTAACTGATTTTAATTAGCTGTTCTCTGGGATTATATGGGATTTGGTGGGTGTTTTTCCTATATGAAATAGAACTCACAGTGGGCCTTTCATAGATGCCATTTTAACATTTACAATTAAGAATAAATAAATATATAAAAACTCCCACAAAAATAAAACAGCAGAATTAAAAACTAGAGCTACAGAAAAATACCACTTGAACAAAAGTAATGACGTAAATATACAGCAAACTACAGTAATCAATAGAAACATTATCCAGCCATCAGCTTGTTCTTGTAGCACATTAAGAGAGTAGTGGTTTATAGTCAATGATTTTAACAACATATTATATACACCATAGTTAGTAAATAAAACCAATTATATCATAGCTTTTGGTTCAACATATAACAGTTTATTATAAAATATATATTTAATCATGGTGTGTTTTTGAAGTGTCAGAGATCTCGGCGTATTAAATTATGTATTTCAAAAATCCCTGCTCTGAAGTTGAAATGAGAGGTCGTCGTTTATAGCCTATATACAAAATCTCATAGTAACTATTGAGGCTTTAAAATGGCTATTCCCTGTATCAACAGTAGGTAATATTAACCTCCAACAACCACATGCTTTGAATTATCAGGTTCAGAAAGTAAGCCGCAGTTGATATTTGTTGATAATCTTTATAGTAGTATGTCTAAGTAAGATAGCAATCTATTTCCACGATTGTTATTTGAAATATAAAACTGTGTGTTCTGTCCTTAGCCATTGCTATCTACTACATAATGGTAATCATTTAATAAAGGGTTGTAAATTCAAAACATTATGATGAACAAACCCCCTCTCATTTCAGCTTAAAATCTCTTTTGTACTAGTGTTGAGCGGGGATTTTGGAAATATCTAATCATGTCTACTCTCTCTAATAGACACTGATACTTCTATTACAGGATCCAATATAGATGAAGCACCAAGTTAAATTTTGAAGAACAGATTACTGGTACGGATATTATAGTAATAACATCATTTACATGGATAATTTCATGGTTATTGAGTAAGAATGCAAAGCAGATAACTATAACAATCTTTTTATTTGTTTTGTGATCAAAAGTTGAATGCTCATACAAATTTTCAAAATTTAGTACATGATGTCTTTGTAGCAGATTTAACATCAATGATTTAGTAGTAATACAAGTAGATACTAAAGGTATACAATAAGATATACAGCATAAAATGTCTATGAATATAGACCATATAACGGCTCATTATATATATATTCATAGCATCAAGTTAAATCATACATTCATGTTAGGATTTCTTAAGATCATTATATAATACTTTAACATTAATATTCATGTGTCAAGATAACCAATGAAAGTGCCTGGCGAAGCAATAAATTTGGACTGGAAGCATTACTATAATATAACGAATGCTTTGCTGGCAGAAAGATGACACTGATTCAAATCTATAGAAACAATATGGATGTCACACATATTTATGACGTTTATGTTTGTGGAATTCAATCAGGTTAGTTTTTAAAAAAAAACAACAAAAAAAACATTACTTCATTTTAGTCAAGAACCATGAAACCACCTATTAATAATCACTTGAATTTAATAAAGTGAAATTTTAGAACCAGATTTCAAAATGGGTTTCTATATTTTTTTATTGGAAAGTTAACAATTGTGTTACAGGTCAAAAGTTTTGATAAATGTTTGCATATAATTTAAGTGAATTAACAATAATGATTGTAAAGTAATAAATATATTTATAGTGTTTACCTTTCAGCAGGTGACGTGGAGGCTGAACTAGCTGAACTCTCTAGATCTACAAATATATAAATTCTCATATTTCTTAAAATATATCAATTCCAGATTTTTGACTCATATTTCTTAATGCCATTTGGAGTTGTTCAATGATTGTGGAAGTGGAATCTCTACAAGAAATATCTGTCCGAAAGTGGTTCTATTCTGTTCAATATACAGAAGAAAGGTGTATTGGAAATTTTATAACCTTCAGCATCCTGAGTTGACCATATATGTGATATATGGTCAAAACAAGCTAGAAACATCTATGATCTCTGCTTAAACCTTTTGAAGGGTCTCTTTATAATGGGACTGAATCCAAGCTATGACGGTAACTGAATATACTAAAATAAGACCACTTGTCTTCAGTAGAAGCAACAAGAACAGACTGATTATAAATGAAATAAATAAAACATTACCATCTTGATCTAGATCATTATCTATACGTAAATTATCAACTTCTATATCCACATGATCAGCTATCATATGTTTTAATAAATCTTGTTGTAAAGTATTGTTTAATTCTGTTTGATGTAATTTGGCATGTAGTTCTTTAGCTTCCGAATCTTTCTGCGCTGACATCATTCCCTAAAAAAATATTTACATTTATATTATATTCTACTTGACATTTCAAATTACCTATAACACCATCTAAATCTTTCTTTTTACTACACTAACATATACAAGCGGTTGCCATGCAAGATACACCAATATTTTGCAACAGATGAACAGAGAACAAGCTACAAAAAAAGAGTGTTTTTTCATACAACCAGGGGCCAGAATCCAGAACGTTAGGGTCGAATATGTGCAAGTATTGAAAGGAACATTTGGGATATAAACATATATTTTAAGCTTCATTAAAATCAGATAAAAATTGTGACCTCTAGACTTTAACACTAATTAAGTAAGAGGAGTGGCCATTCTGTCAGGCAGTTTCGGTTCTATTTTCACGAAATTTGAACTTCACTGTAATTATGGTGTAACGGTGATACAGGCCATGAAATTTGACGCGAACGATACCAATTGGTTACGTGCGGTCGCGCTAGCTCAAAAACATGCGACCGATTTCCTGGTTACGCAAATTGAAATATCGGTTACGTTAACAAATTTCATTAACAGATTTATTCACATTTGATCAATTTTTATACAGGATGACTTTGTGACACGGGTCTAAATTATTTGTATTATAGCATGAACTCCATTCATTCATTCTTGGCATTTCATTTTCTCCATTTTACCGATACTTTGACAGATCACGTATTTTGACACCACGTAAGCTATTGACCAGTTGCAAGCACGTTGATTTAAAAATGCCCCTCACTCCTAATTCTTTAAATGATTAGTTATGCCATAAATTTTGAAAGCGTACCTTTGGATTTTCAAACACAAAATGAGAAATGAGTTTGACTATTTAACATGTCGGCTATATTTCCAAAGAATTTACTACACGTGTTCCTTTCAGTTTTCACTATAGCCATGCTGTAGTACTAATGACCCGTATGTATGTCGTCAACTTTGACCCCCTCCCCGGCATCGCTCGAGTGATAATGTAAACGATTTTACTCTCCTGTCTATTTTAATATTATTTCATTATTTCAAACTATTCTGTTTCCTTTTGAGACTTTGTGTATAGAGTGCCGAGGTTTATAATAAATACTGTTTGTCAATCAGTCGCTATACCTATGAGTGAGGCTATCGCATGCTACGTGCTTGGATGAATGATTGCAAGTGACAAGTGTAATATGAAGTACACATGTAGTCTTCAGTGACCGAAAACAATGTGGTAGCTACCATTCCTGGTTTTTGAAGGTCAGATATAATATAAAAACGAAAATCCATTAGTAATTTTTGGAACCGATTCCCCTCATTATTAAAATGTAGGGATTTAGTAAAGTGGAACATTTTATTTTTAATGTTATATTGTTTGATGGGGACACCGTGGGATTAAAGTCATTAACACTTAACCTAATATAATATTAAATATAAAAGAATAAAGTTAGTCAAGTTACTTCTTTAAAAAATACATTCACTGCAAGTGGAAATGAATAATAGCACCATTTAAATCTGGATAAAACATGAAAACAGCGCAACCATTTTATGTAACCAATTGGTTGCGCAATGATCATCTGGCGTAACCAAAGAAAATGGTTACGCAGAGCATAAACCTGCAACCATTTTTCTGGTTACGCCAAAATTTGAAATTTCATGGCCTGGTGATATATTTGAACTTTGTTTAAAATCGAATAAAAATTGTGACCTCTAGTGGGTCCACAAGCTACAAAAGGTGATTTTCTGTACAATCAAGGGCCATAATCCTGGAAGTTACGGTCCGATATGCGTGAATATCGAAAGGAACCAAGATCTTTGGGAGCTTAACTTATATTTCAAGTTTCGTCAAAACTTGATAAAGATTTTAACCAGTAGAGTGTCCACAAACAAAATGTGAACAAACTGACGGACAGGGGTGACGACCATATACGTCCACAAGAAAATGTGGGCGTACAAAAATAAAATACATCAGTATGTCTATCAACAAAATATGGTTATAAAATGCTGCAAGGTATCACTCAAAATGAAGTTTTGCTAATTCCTATAGGATGCCTTACACGCTAGATTTGTTTCAGCTAACTGTCCTTACCCCCCCCCTCGCTTTTGAAAAATCCTGTATCCCCCCTGAATATGAGTATATTACCTTTGATATAGAGAATTGGAAGAGATGTTCTAGTAAATATTTAGCTTCTTGTAATGAACAGGCACCAATAAGAGATGTAATATCAGTACTTTCAGTTTCTTCCTGAAAAAATAATAATAAAAATATTACAGCTATTTATATTTTCTGTACAATAACCCAATTTTCAAAATTTCCTCATTGAGACTCATTTTCCCAGCATGGGTCACATACATTGATTTAAGCCTTGAGATAATCATATATAGAGAATCTGATATCAAATATATGGACACAAGTCCGTAAACAATACCAGACTCAGTTGTAGATTTTTACTATCCGATGTGTAATGTATTATTATTTGGTGATATGACAAATAACTATGTTATTAAGTAAATAATTAAATAAGTAAATTAAGGCTAGAGATAGTGATGAGTGTATATTAATATAAACAAGTATTTTATATAGAGTCCAAACCTACCTTAGATTCTTCAACTTGCATTATATTAGCTTGACAATCATTTATATTATCTTGTATATATTCTACTTGACATTTTAAATTATCTATAACATCATCTAAATCTTTCTTTTCACGGAACTAAAAAATAATATATATATCACTTCCTTAATCAAAATACTGTTTGCTTGCTCTTATAAAATGCTACAAGTATGGCACAAAATGGCATTAATTTTGTTTGGTTATATTTGTTCAAGCATAATTTGATTTGTGACCACCAAAGGATTCTTGGCACCATAGCCACTATTTCTGTCAACCTCATAGGAATAGTTCAAAAGAGTGGCATAGAATCTTAAATTATTTTTTGTTTGTTAATTTAAAATTTTTGTTCATGTAAAAAATAACGCTTATCATACCTCTACATCATCACCCATGCTTTCTCTCTTCTGTATATATTTTTCTAACTTTTTACCAATCTTTTCTCTTTGCTAAATTAATAAAATAATTCTTTACATTACAAATTATGTATCGAAAATTTATTATTTTCACTATCAAAATTTATAAATACATATAAAATGGTGGATAAAAATACTGTTAATAAAGGTGTTTAAGTGTGTTGGTGTTAGTACAAACTAACAACATAAATATAATAAACTTACCTTAAGCCAGTTCTCCATATCTTTAGCCATATGTGTAACTGTTTGTTTCTTATTTATCACAGCATTAACCTAGGGTTAAAATAAAATATAACAATTAAACAAAATTATTAATTTTTATTAATGAGAAAATCTGAGTAAACAATATTTTAAAATCACAGTTTCTTTAAAATAAAAATAATCGAGTTGATTTGATATTTGTGCTTTATTTCTTGAAATAGCTATGTGGTTTGTCTAGATAGAACATCACCTAGATAGTAACTAAAGTCTCAAATTGGAGATAAACTATTGCTATTTGATATTAATATTAAAATATCTTATACTCACATTCTTTTCAATAGCATCCCATTTCTGCTTAGCCACTTTAGGTGAGAAATCTTTTCGTCTTCTTCGTGTTGAAGAATTTATAGCTAAAACAAAATTGTAAGTAAACACACATTCACTTAAATCACGCTAACCAAATGTCTGGTGCCTATTTCTAATTACTAGACTAGAACCTCACTGTATGGTGGGTTTCAATATTGTGAAGCCCTTTAGTCTTAATATATTCGGGACTTTTATACTGAAGCCCAAGGGAAAAACAGTGGTTCAGTGAGTAAGACGTTGGCTTGCTAACATGGACGTCTTGTGTTCGATCCCTGCATTGGCTGACAAAATTCATCGGAAATTTTCCAGCGTGGTTTCATCATGTCAGTGATGCAGGACTGAGTGCCAGGCTAGGGACAATGTTGGAATTCGATATAAGAGTAGGCTTTAGTGCTGATGTCCGGGCAAAATCACCCTCATCGCACACTGTATGGCAAAATATGCCTGTCTTCATTAGCCCAATAGGTGCAGAACAGTAGGATGTTAAATTACATTTCATTTCATTTGAAGCCCAACTATATCAACATCGTTAATGTTTGAATGCCTTTGATCAAAATATAACTACATATTTAAGCTTTGTTTATAATATGATGGTATTTACTTTTACATATTTACTTAAATATAATATAACCAATTAGTTACTGTTGGTGATAAAATTAAATAAATTGTCCACAGTCACATTCATGCTAATTTCAATTAAAAAAATATAGAGAGTTTTTTTTTAAAATTGTATGTTAAGATGGTATTTACCTATAGGAATGGTAGCTGGTCTATCATATTTACCAATACGACCTGCAGCTTTGGCTGACATTGGTTTAACTGCTTTCTTACGTCTGCGTAATGATTCAAGCTATAAATATATAAATAACAGTGTAAAAGGAATCACATTACACACACACAAAAAAAAAAATCCAACTAGTTAAAAACACAGACAATAGTAGGACAGTTTATAGTTTTAGCAGCTGGAGTAAACCGGAAGACCCATAGAAAAAACACAAGGTTAGGCAGGCACTTGACTGAATGTCTCGATTACAGACATTATGATCTAAAGCGCATGCTAGACCATTGTGTCAAAAGACACAATAAGCAGGAAGGATTCTAAAACAGATCTCTTTAATATCAAACTTTGTAAATGTAAACTAATGTCTGAAGTGATCCCCCTTTAAGATGAGAAAACTATACCATTCAAAAAAAGTAGGGGATATTTGATTTTGGGGGCATAATACTAAAATATGCAAATGACTACGAAAAAAGTCACTATAGAACCTAACAGAAGAAACATTTCCAGTTACATGTGACGCCCAAACACACCAATAGCTACCGTATGGAATGCAGGTGATGCTTGGGATCATCATGGGGGTCCAACCCAAGATTTGCATGACTCTGACTTTGAATGTTACAGTCATTGTGGCATTGAATTCCAGGGTGGAAACATCAGTTTAATTGTTTTAGTGACCAGAAAACAAATTTTGATATGCGTCGGCTTACCCAAAATGAAAGGTTACGTGCCCTTGGCATGCTACAGATCGGCACAACATAGGCGGTTGTGGCGCGGACGATGGATGTTTCTCAGTCTGTCATAAGCAGGCTATGGTCCAGATACCGTGATACACAATCTGTACAGGACAGACCACGCTCAGGTCGACCAAGGGCGACAACTCAAGCCCAGGATCGATTTATCCGTACCTTGGCCTTGAGAAATCGTGTCATCACAGCAAATCAGATCAGCGCTCGTCTTCAAACAGACACTGGTGTGAGAGTGAGTGGCCAGACGATTCGGAATCGACTGCATAGGGGTCACCTTCGCGCCCGACGTCCTCGCGTGATCCCTTGTTTGAGAGATCATCACATTCAGGCAAGATGTCGTTGGTGTAGGGATCGTCAACACTGGGATAATCGACGCTCGAGCAATGTGATGTTTTCAGATGAGTCAAGGTTCACTGTTGATTTTTTGGACAGACGTAGGAGGGTGTGGCGGCGTCGAAGCGAGCGCTTCCAAGACGTTAACGTCATCAGACATGATCGATTTGGAGGTGGTTCTGTTATGGTGTGGGGAGGCATCACTGTTGCTGGAAGAACTGCTTTACATGTTGTTGCAGGGCGTGTTACAGGCCAGTACTACCAGGACAACATCTTGGCAGTCCATGTTGTGCCGTTCGCACGACGTCATGGCTGCCGTTTCATCTTCCAGGATGACAACGCAAGATGTCACAGGGCCAGGATCGTTACAGGTTACCTCCAACAACAGAACATCACCACATTACCTTGGCCAGCACTGAGTCCCGACCTCTCCCCCATCGAGCATGTCTGGGACATGCTTGGACAGTGGTTACGTCAACGTCAACAACGTCCTGCCAATGTCCAAGAACTTGCTGCTGCGTTGCAACAGGAATGGGACAATCTGGACCAAAATGACCTTAGACGTCTCATTAGGAGTATGCCACGTCGGATCAATGCTTGTTTGGCAAACAGAGGAGGATTTACCCATTACTGACTTGGTTGTGATGCTGTGGTAACTTTGCTGTTTGACCCCGGGTATCATTTTACCCTTATAATGGTCAGTCTGTGCCTTACTTAGTCTAACGATCATTTGGAATAAATCGATGAATGTGAACTTCATTTCATTTTGTCATTTGTTTCTTCGTCAGTTTCATTAGGTGACTTTAATAACACTTAAAAATCAAATATCCCCTACTTTTTTTGAATAGTATATCAATCCTATTTTAATCATATTTTTTTTTACCTCCTCTTGTTTACGTTTTAAAACAATATCTTTCTGTTTCTGGTCTTGTTCTAGATTACGGATACGATTTTGATATTTAATTTGATCTTTACGTATCTGGAAAATTTCTTTATTTTTTCTAGCTTCCAATGATTTACTCTTTTCACCATCATCTTTGATTTGTTTCATCAGTCGAACCTGTTAAATACACAATATGTTATATCAGGCATTATTTTTTGGGGGGTGACCAAATAAATGCAAACAACTTGAACTGGAACAAAACTTATGTTTCAATTCATTGGGCAGGATGATATTGATGTTAAATCACAACAATTGGAAATTGCAATTATTGCTCTACTGCTGTATTCAATGTCAAACACAACACAGTTGTGATAAAAACATCCCTTTAAAAACTCCAGAATAGTAATTAGGTAAAATTTACAATATGACTATACAACAATACATGCAAGTGTATAGAGACGATTTAAGATCTGTGTCAATACAAAATATACATGAGAAACACTTGATTACTGCGGTTGTTGTTACTTGACTACAATAACTGGACTGCTGAAAATTAGCCAATAACACAAAAGCTTGCTCTCGTAGAGCTAAATAACTGGACTATCGACACTATAATAATAATGTGCATTTATGATTGTGCTCACTCCTCCATATTGCATGCCCTAACCCAATTCTGATAATAAGTCACAAACCACCGTAACGACGAAGTATTGGTAAAGTATAAATTTGAAACTTGTAAATAAGAATAATATTTTACCTTAGTTTTCTTCATTTCCAACATCTCATGCTGCAATGTTTTTAACTGCTTCTCATAGTGTGATTGATTTCTGACAAGTTTAGCATGTTCTTTTTTAGCCGCCTGCATCTTTCTCAAATCAGAATTAAGATCATTTATCTTCTTCTCATAATCTTGTTTAATCTTTTTAACCTTATCATTAGAACCTGTCTCTTTACTACCTATAAACATATATCATACGCTTATATTAACATTTAAATACAACAACCACAGCAAATAGATAATGGTAATGACCATATTGTGCATACATTATGAAGTAAAGGCAACATTTGATACTGAAGGTAAATTAAATAAATAAAATATATTGTACAGTTCTCATTAATTAAGTGGTTTCACTAATATTATGATTATATAAGAGTATATATTTCGTTCTGACTGTATCAGTATAATGCTTGAAAATGATAAGAGAATCATTGTAGAAACGTAGCTCACATTAAAATACCACAATTGATTCCATAGAATTGTTTTGTTTATTCCAAAATAATTTATCTGCATATTAACATTTTTCAATTCAAATATGTCTTTTGTGCATGTTATTGCTGTGTGTGTCTCGGAAGGATAGACACCAAATAATAATGTTTCTATTCAAAAACCGAATTCACTCATTCAAACTTTCAATGCTAATCTGCAATGCATGATTTTGTTTTTTTATAATCATCCTTATATTTCAGCAACTTACCAATATTGGCTAAAATTTGATCTCTTTCCAGCTCTGTTTCTTTAATTCTAGTTTCTAATTGTACAACCTTTTCTTCATATTGATGACGTACAGCTTGCATTTTCTTCTGACTTTGTTCTAGCTCTTCAATAAGCCTTTGTTTAATGGAGATTTCACATGTTAATTCAGCCAGGTCTTCATGTATATGATCAGAATCTATCAAAACAAAATAATTCATCATTTTATTTTTTAATTTTCTAAATCTTAAAGAGTGTACTGATTGATTTAAACCACATATATAATGTTCAACAAATCTTATCTATTTCTTATTTCACAAAAAATATAATGGCCTTCAAGTTATTCTTTTCTCCTACAACGCAAAAACTCAACAAGTTCACTGCATTATTCTGTGGTGGATGTTCGATTTTGACTGTGGGAGCTTCTGAATATTGCAATTAATTGATACAAATAGAATTCTGTCACATTCCTATTAGTAGTCCTCATAACAGATGTTATGTGAATAGTATTGTTATGTAAAGAATCATATTTCAGCTGTGATGATTGGTAGACACATTTCTCATTCACTTTGGGGGTGCTTGGTGAACATTCAACACATAATTACAGTCCCGATGCACCATGTGTATTTTTCGTTAAAATATAAAATTTCTCATGGCCTAATCCATGCTAATACTAATATGTACTCAGATTATTATTTAACATTTCATTAAGAAAATTAAGAAAACAAAATTAAAATACCAAAGCTAGATATTGTCTCGGCTTGGATTCAATTGGATTACAAAAGACCTATCAATAAATTTTTGCGGACAACAAAATAGTGTCGGATGACTTATAACATAGTGAGCAGCATAGATCAATCAAATTCTAAATCCACATATCTTTATAAATACTGAACGGAATAGAACCATTTTTAGACTGATATTCATATTAGAGATTCATCTTTCACACTATTGTAGTTTGCTGGTGATTCTATAGCACTAAAATGGCATATCAGGACTTTAAAATATTTTCAACCAATTTGATTGGAAGCAAATTTTCTTATATAAGTGAGGAGAAAAAACACAGAGTTCAAAACAATGGACGTCAGAGATATATTTAGAAATCATATTGTGATGAAAAATACACAAGATCTAAAGATAACAGAAAAACAAACACACACAATTATTGTAAACACCATAAAAATCTGTAGGATATAATGTTATATTTAATACAAATAAAATCTACACATCACCAATAATCAAATAAAGTTTGTAAGGCTGCTCTAAAAAAAGAAATGATCACAAAACAACATCTATATCAGACAACAACATCTTATATACCTGCCCACATTTCCCAATAATCGACAAACATTTCATCTGGTTCTAATTCATAGTTACTCCAGTCCAAAATAATGTCTGTATAGAAATTTCAAATGTTATGTAATTGAATGGTAAACATGTGTGTTCATATATCCAATTTAGGTTATTAAATTTTTCATTTTTTCTGAAAGGCCAATATATTATTACCAAATATTTGTATAAATTATTCATGAAAAAGTTATTCAGATGTATACAGAGCAATAATTATAAAATAATATGTACCTTTATCCTCATCATCATCATCATCATCGTCGTCATCATCATCATCGTCATCAGAATCATCATTAGTTTCATCTTCATCATCGGTATCATCTTCACCTACATCACCATTCTTAAGAAACAAGTCAAGACAATATTTACCCACAATATAATTTTAATAACATAAAGTTACAAATTTTATAGATAAGGACTAAAGGAGTAAAATCTTTTATTTCTAAATTGATTATTAATCCACTGAAAAAAGTAGCAACATTCAGATTTTGGAATTCTATAACCAGTAACACAGTACACCATTGAAATCAACAGGGTGATGAGACAAACACAGTTTATTGTATAATATTATAAACAAACAAATACTATATGCAATAAACCAGTGATAATGATGGACTGTTTTGTTTATATGTGCCGGATATGTCTAAAGCCTGGCACACACTATGCGACAACTTAAGTGACGAGTCTGGCGACAAATATCACCTCAATATAAGTGGATTGAGCACACTACACGGCGACTTTGGCGATCATGGAAAAAACACCCTGTCACATGCAAAATCATGTGACACCTGTAAATTCATTTTAGTCGTCATCGCGTTGAATACTTTAATCAATATTGTTTTGTACATGAAGATCAGTCGGCGGCGTAGCCGTCTTAGTACAACGCCCGTCGAGTGCAATGCGTTTATAGTATTATAAGTAACTAGCTCAAATTGGGCGACTCTTGCATGTATAGAAAAACAAGCTACATGAGGCTTAGTCCAGAAATATTCCAGAGAATCCTAAATATAATCAATCCTCTCATTGCCAAACAAACAACCAAGATGAGACAAGATGAGACCACCAATAAGCCCAGGTGGGCGATTGACGGTCACTCTCCGTTTTCTCGCTACAGGTACTGGAAAAATATTGCCCATTCTAATTACCATCCATGAATCCTAGGACTATATTATTATTGAGTACATTGCTATATAGACGGAACAATCCACATTGCCTACCATATGTATTCGACAGCTTTGCCAGAATTCCAAACTTATTTTCAATTAGTTAGTTAAGGCTAAATTAGATTACCCGAGTCACTTAATATTATACATGCAACAGAAAAAAATTCTGATAAATCTCGTGTGTAGTTATGTCACATGAGAAGAATAACCAAAAATGATTGGTTTAATAGGTGAATTTATTTTCTTCGTTGTCGCTTAACTTGTCGCTGAGGTGAGCACATTACACGATTTGTTGCCGATGAAGCGACGACTTGGGCGATCATATCAAACAAGTCTGTTCATTAATTCACCCATTTTGAGTCTCGTAGCGAAAGAGTTAAATCAAAATCTATTATTAACTATTTTTACCACATTTGTCTCATCTTCATCCGATTTTTCTTGACTTTCTACATGTTCTGTATCATCATCTTTACATTCCTCTTCACCACCACTTACATTCTCTTTATCACTTCTATAACAATAATATACATTTTCTTTATCACTTCTATAACAATAATATACATTCTCTTTATCACTTCTATAATAATATACATTCTCTTTATCACTTCTATAACAATAATATACATTTCTCTTTATCACTTCTATAAACAATAATATACATTCTCTTTATCACTTTTATAAAATGGGGTTTATTGTCCTACTGTTCTGCTCCGACTGCGCTAATGAAAACGGGCATACGCCATACAGTGTGCTATGGAGGGAAATTTTCCCTGGACAGCGGGGCCACGGCCTACTCTTATATCAAATTTCGACTGCCAAGGAATCTTTAATGTGCACACCAATGTGTACACAGGACTCTGGACTTTCGTCCCATCTAAACGAATATATGTTGTTCATTGCCAGGCCCTTGGTCCTGCATCACTGACAAAGAGGAACCATACTGGAAAATACTGTTTAACTTTCTCGGCCACGGCCAATGCAGGGATGGAACACAGCCCTCCAGCTTAGCGAACCAACGCCTTACCCACTAAGCCACCGTGGCTCCCTTTATCACTTTTATAATAATTATATACATTCCCTTATATACAGTACAATAATATTAGCAAGTTTACCATCTAAAAAACTTTTTGTTATACTCACATGTAAGTGTATAATATATTAAGTAAAGAATGTGTTCTTGTTTATTACTTTTAGTCTTAACTTACCCCTGATCGGCTATTCTTGATTTAGCACGCTTTGATTTCTTTAATTTCCGAACATCTTTTTTAGCTTCTTCCAATATAGCTGACAATGAGTTTTCCTCTATAGACATGGGCATATCAAAACATCCACTAGACACTGTAGACATCGGACTAGCTAATAACCGGGATGGACTTCGGGGACTACGTAATGCTGATTTTCTGACTGTTTCACACATTGCTTCAGACTCACAAAGTTTAGTTCTAAAACGAAAATAAGCATTTTATCTTTTTGGTTTGATTCCTATATTTATAATATAACTGTATCAAAAATAAAGAATACACCAATCTATACTTCTATCACAATTAGCACTCCAGAAAAATTACCGTATTTCAACTAGTAAAATTTGGGTGTTATGATCTTCAAGATAATTTGAAAGATTTCATTTAACTTACTTTAAATCTTCTATTTCTGTAACATAACCACTAATAAGATTACTAGCAGCTTCATTAGAAACTTCACCTGTAATATACATGTAGATATAAAATACCAGTCTCAGATAAAATCAAGACATATATTTACAACGAATTGAATATCTTTAGAAATGGGTCAAATGTTCAAAACCATTCATTTTTCAGAAGGACTTAAAACTTGATAATAAATTACAAAAATGTAAGTTTTCATCTTCACACTATTGGTACTTTTGATAAATTAAAGCCAATATGTGTGGGATATATATATAAAACCTGTCTTACCATTTTCTGTAACAATTCCTAAAGATGCGATTTCTACAATTAATTGTGAGTTTCTAGCCTTCAGACCTTCTATGGTTTCATTCATTGCTTTAATTCTTTGTCGTAATTTCTCTAATTCTGTTTGCAACATTTGATTTTCATGGAACATGTCATTGACCCCTTCTGCACCTTCAGAGTTGACTATACGTTTACCCTGTTCAATGTACACCAAAATAGTGTGGATAACTGACAGACAATTTAAATAACTGTCCTCGTATCAAAATATAATTCATTAAAGTATCTGTAACGGTTTTCCTTATTAATTAGTGCAAACAATAAAATAGTAATTCATTTATGATACTGAACAGATGGCTGAAATTCTACACAGCAATGTTTTTAACACCAATTATAATACAATCTATGTTTTAAATAATGCCATATGGTGATACTGTATTAATTAATGAATTTATTCATGATAGATTATACAGATTTTTATTCAGTTTATATTATCATGGCTAATAATCTGTTAACTTACCGTTTTAAATTCTCTTAATTCTTGTTGTAAAGTTATTATTTCAGATCGTAACATTGCCATTTGTTTACTGGCTTTATCTTGATTAGCCATGATCTTGTTTTTGATATTACGAGCTCTGTTGGCGTATTTTAATGTGTTTAAGGTCTCCATAAAGTCTCGATCAGATGGAGATATACACGCTATCATTAATGTTCGACTGAAATTAAACACAGTAAGATACAGAACAAATATCTGGAAACTTTAAAGGTAACATAAAGATGTGCAACAAGAATTGAGAAGTGCTATTTAGGTGCTCTGGAAGGAATAATTGTATCCTAATTATGCCTATATCTATGTAGCTGAAAGAATGATACTTTTGACTTGAATAAAAGGTGGCCTCAGGCTAATGGTTACAAGTGGAATCACTGATCTTTATCATATACATTTCAGTTTTTAAATGAATGAATCTTTTATGAAACATGAGCTCTGATAGCAGTAATAACTCTACATTTTTCTCATTATGTTCAGATTATGGTGAATAGCAAGATGCTGCTGAAGTCAAATGGGGCTTTAACATCCTACTTTTTGGCACCAACCAGGTAATGAAGATGGTCATGTAGTGTACTATAAGGTAATTTTTTCCATGCCAGTAGCATTTTCAGCTATTCTTCGAAGAATACCAACTGTCAAGGTTCTTTTATGTGCACACCAAAGTGTACACAGTACCTATCTTTTTTGTCGAATCCAAATGACTAGGCACTGTTTTTTGCCGACTCTGATCCTGAACATCTAAAATGGGGAAACCATGCCCATAATTCCCGGGAACCTTAGCTCCTTACTCATCGAGCAACTGTGGCTCCTGCTGAAGTCAAGGGTTATAAATGATTATGAAACTAATGTATAGTATTACCTGTTACCACCCAGTGAATCTTGTAATAGTCGAGTTAATTTAGAATCTCTATAAGGTACATGGGAACCTTTCTTAGCTTTATCACCTAATGCAGATATCACATTACCTAATGCTAACTGTAAAAAATATAAAAATATCAAGTTTTATATTTCACTATAAGTAACAACCTACCAATATTTTTCCTCTTTTTATTTAGCTTCATCCTATTTTTTTTTTATTGTACAGACATTTGTAACATTAGTTTACCAGTACATAAAATAATATACTATGTGAACTATAGTATTCTTCAAATGAATTGGTAGTTTGTTTTACTCGTTTCAATTGAAATTCAACCTACCAGACCACAATTTATAGAAATTCCTTCTTTAGCTCGATCACCTGTGGCCCCTGTTCGTTTTAATCTTTCCGAACCCGCTAAATCAACAAAGTGAAACTTGGCTGTAAGGGTTTCAAATTCGTTAACAGATTGTGTTGAGTCTGTATCTTTACCATCATCTAATACAAGCTGGTAGAAAAACAAATTTAATCAATTACATTGTTATGTATCACCTGAACATACACCTATGAATCTGGAAATTAAAATCTTAAAACCGTTCAATGTTCCAGAATAAACGACAAAAAAAAAAGGCTATCAATATCCGATTCTACACTGTAAAAAAAACAATGGTCTAACCAAATATCTATTTGTACAAAATCTATTAACATCGATCAATCCTAACATAAGTTCACATTGCTTTTTATTAATATCACATAGCCATCTTTTTTGTAATCATCTGTTGATATCCAATTCCTTCCATAAACATAAAAGCCAAGATGGTAATTAACAACGTTTTCTGGTTTATAAGTACCGTATCTATAGCACACTTTTCAGCCATTATTTTTGTTAAATTCAAATACAGAAATTGATTAATGGCCTTCTTTCAAGTTACAATGCATTATTATTCAGAAAAGAGTAAACATCTTATTAGTACTAACCTCATCTTTAACAATTCTATGTTGTTTAATATGTAGTGTAAAGATGGCATGAGATCGGGATGATTGGGAATTCATGTTGGTACTAGCAGTAGCTCGCGATAAGGCACCAATTTTAAGGCACTGGATGGTCTGTTAAAACAAAACATCATTTATATCAGAATAAAGGATGCATTATGTAAGATTCAGATAAAGAGTGGGATGTTCTTGATTTAACACTTCAAAAATAGACCCTATGACATGAGCCCTGTTTCTCAATATCTTAACTAAAGATAAAATCCAAATTTTAATAGATACTTCAATTTTGATTGGCTGAGCACTAAAATCAATCTAATAATTATCCAATCAAATTACTAAAATTTGAATTTTATCTTAGTAAAATTTCGCGAAACAGGCCCCAGACATTGATTAATCAATCAGCGTTGACATTTGTAGTGGTTTACCCAGTTCCGTCCATGGCACGGCAAGAAGTCGCCGTAACAGACCGTTTCTTTGGCTTATCCCTCACTTCAACCAAAACACCAGTAATATAACAACCCTTCAAGATCCTAGTGTAGTGAAAACAAGTTAAAAGAAATTTTGAACATTAAATGACGCTGATGTTCTAATCCATTTAGGTAATATATCGGCTATCTGATAGCCTAGAGAGTTGATTATGGGCAAATTTAGCTCTTAGTCTTACATAATACATAATTCAAATAAAAATAATACAAGTTTATCATGGATCACCTTACATGTACATCTAGTTTTAACAATATACCTACATTTGACATTTAAAATCAACTTACATCTTGTAATGAAGTAACCAGTCGAGTCGTAACACCCACCACATATATACTACCATTAGCATCTTCATGTATTTTAATGTTAGATTTTCTACCCTTTAACAATACAATACAAAATGAAACAAAAAAGAAAGGGGGAAAGCAAAAAAAAAAGAAGAAAAAAAGTCAATTATTTCTAATTGTATCAACATTTTGGTATAAACAGGTCTTTTTTTTTGTATACTTTATCAAAATGCTCTATGAAAGGAAGAATTCAAATTGAATAGTACCTAGATTGTAACAGAATTAGAAATTAGACTGTTCAATTGTACAATAAACAAGTGTTTTGTCCCAAAAGTCCATCAATCAATAAGTCAATTCTATTATTTCTATAATAAATATTAATGAAGTATTTTATTATGAGCTAGTATCTACACTGGTTACATACCCTTGATTCTGGATCTCTAGTTGTGTCTAGTAAATCTAATACTTCCTCATTATATAACTGAAATTAAACAAGCATTCATATTCTATAAATATTACGAGAATGCAATATTATTTCAATGTCTTTCAAATCTAGTCAGCAATGATTACTCAGAGAAGATTATTTCAATTATTATAGCCACAATATGATCCATATGTGTTGCGTTATAATTCAGTGCTGAGTATCTAAATTATACTATAGTCACAATATAATACATATCATAATACTTGTGTTGCGGTATGATTCAGTGCTGAGTATTTAAATTATAGTCACAATAGAATACACATCACAATACATGTGTTGTGGTATGATTTATATCAATTAATGGTATAGTCACAAATTGATACACGATCAAGTGTTCAAATGAGCTTAAAGAAAAATACTGGTTGTATAAAATTATACAAAATGAGAGCTTTTTTAAAGAGTAAAGCAGGACCCAGAAATCTGTCAAATTTATATACAATAATTCACAACAGTACATGCATATTGCAATTTGTTTCTCATGATCTGATATTAATGAAAGATAAATCCTGATACACTGTTTTAACATATTGTGAATGTAAAGGCTCATATAAATAATAGAATGAATGGATGAAATGGGGTTTAATGTCCTACATTTCTGTATAAATAATGTACTAAAACATTTAATGTAACTTGTTTGATCATTTAGTAATTGTACAATTTTATGAATACACAATTACTGAGTTTATTCTTATGAGATGTTTTGATGAGGATACTAAGTCTTTATGAAGAAAATGATACAAAAATGTGAATTTGATTTAATGTACTTTGACAGTTCAAGCAATCTTTTCAAGTAGCATAATGTCACTGGTGTACATTTTTAAAAAAAAAAGCTGAGCTTACACATGTATTTATCAGTTACACATAAAAGCTTTCGGTTTGGAACATTATCAAATAAAATGAAAAAATATATTTATTAATTGTGTTTTCATATTTTAAAAAATTTTCATGTGGAAATTTATTGAAATAATTAAACTAGTGTATGTTTATGTAACAGGTGTAGATGTTTATATTGTATGACCACTCAGTGTAGATAAACAAGTGAAAATTGATATTAAACCACATGGTGAAGTGTATATTGTATATGTAGGTATAATGATATACTATCTTATTATACATGTATAGAAGATTTGTAGTAAGTATTAGTTGACTAAGATGTGACAAATTGACCTGTATAGTACTAGCTAGCCAACTCACCACTAGTATTATTCTTATTTTAAAGAGACATTTTGGAAAAATATTATCAAAGATGAAAACCATGAATGTGTGGAATATTCAAAATTGCAGAATGTCCTCTTTTACTAGTAATAAATGTATTTTTACACACATGTGTATATTAAATCATAAAGTTCAATCAAAGGTAAGAGTAAGATGATGGATTATCTGTAAGTCGTCTACACGCAATTACTTAGTAACTAGATTAAGAGAAAGGAAAAACGATTTAGTATAAGATATCGATTAATAACAGAACCATGTCTGAACCATTAGTGATACTGTATAAAATGTAATGCAACATAATAAAAAGAAAAACTAAGTGGAATATCTCTTTATAAAGACAAATTGTTTATTTTCTATGTAGTTTAATACTAATAGGTGGGTGTATTTGTATAGAAAAGGTTTACAGCTTTCTTTGATACTATTACAGTCTTTTATATTCTTTGATAAATAGTTACAATACTGGTTTAACCATTCCCACATAATATATCTTCTGCCATTATGAATTAATGATTCAATTTCAATCAAAAGTTTAGTAATTTATAGTAATAAATGCAGCAATCATAAAGTTAAAAGAATGCAAAGCATGTCTTTGATAGGTTGCGTACAAATACATTGAACCTTTCAATTTAAAGAGGAAAATAAGATCTTCTGTCTGGCTATATATTCACATGTACGCAGGCATACGTCCATCATGTCAGTACGTTTACATTTCCCTGTCAATAACTGTCACTTTCAAGGTTGATATTGGTCAATATAAGAGATGTAACCATATAACAAACTAACACTAACTATCCCTACACGTGTGCTAGGTTTAACAAAGTAGAAAATCATTTACCTATAGCTTCAATGAACATTTATAGAAGTATATTTTATCTTTTCTATACATTGGTATGTGGTCTTGTATGGCAACATTTTGAAGTGTTTAACTGGCACAGAATTTCAATAAACAACATGAATAGGTTATTTGTGAAAGACTTTACTCAAGTATAATAATAAATTTACTACTGCCAATACCTAGTGATGAATATAGGTCTTGAGAACATACGTTTACTAACAACATGACCCGTTATTATTAGATTTAATGATTGTCATACTTCAATAATCACTTCTTGATTTAATTGAAGTTAGTCTAGCATAAAACAATTTCATCCTCTAATGATGTGGTCATCAAACACATCTGCTGAAATATTTGTTCAAAGTAAAATAATTATTTGCACCATGAAATACACCATGCACTTGTAAAGTTGTGTTAAAATCACAGATGTATGATGTCAAGTAATCCATTATTACAGATCAATCAAATGTTTTAATTCTGATTGATTTTCTCATATTTCTCATATGGGAGCTATTTTTAAATATTGAACTAAAATTAAACAATGAGTTAGCCAATGAGAAAAGTGTTTTTAAGCTGTGTTCTACTTAGAACATCAGGTACATTGTAAACCATGACAAGCCAAAACAAATACATTGAATGTCAAGAGGTCAATACAGTTCACATCATGTACATCCACAATGACCAGTCATAAACCTACGCAGTCTGATTTGTCTCAGAAAAAAACAAACTAAAATGGGTTTGGTCCAGAAAGTATTCAGACTGAGTATTCATTTAATAACCTTAAAATTAAACTCTGTTTACCCACAGAGTCATTGAGTAGATTTCATTTGAAGATCTTCATTTGCAGGAACCTCTACCATAATATTAATATTTAATTGCCATGCCGGTTGGCTGTGTGTAATTGCAGTGGATTAGTTTCTATTATATTACAAGCTGTATTCTATACAAATGAAACAGTATGTAAGAAGATAAGTACTAGAGTCTAGAACTTACTTTTTCTTGATTTTGGAGGATTCCAGAAGCTGTCCCACCTCTCTTTCTGTAAATAGCTAAACCCTAACTAAATGCTAATCCTTGTTCAATGTGTAATCATCTAATTCTAAGAAGTTCACATAAACTTACAAAACATAAGCTACAATTACTTACCTCCATAAATTGAGCATTGACTTTAAAATCAGGTGGTGGTTCATTTCTTTCAACTGCTTCCTTTCTACACTTTTCTATTCCTTTAAATAAATGGTCTACTGCTCGAGGTATGATGCCTATAATATCAGGATCAGCTGTTACATCAAACCCAGTTCCCATTGTATAAGTCTTCCCTGATCCAGTCTAAATAAAAAAAAAACCAACATCCAGAAACTTATTAAACTGAATAGAATTTTATATAAATAAATATTTTAAATTAAAAGAGAAACAGGGTCTAACATACACACAACACAAACTAGGTCATTTTGGACATACGGTCCAATTTCAATTCAATAATTCGATTGTGCACAGGATTGTGAGGTTGGACAGGTGACCATTGTCACATACATGTGGGGAATCGAAACAATGCCACTTGATTGAAGGAAAGACCGTATATCTAAAGCGCAAGCCACCCTATTTGACCATCCAATCCTCCAAATATTTAAAGATGCATTATGTAAGATTTAGATAAAGAGTCGGGTGTTCTTGCTATAATAGTTCAAAAATAGACAATGAGAAATGAATACATTGAAAATTGTTTGTTCCAAAGAAATCAATGATCATGAAGTAATGATCAGCCTTTAAAACCGAAGGATAACATTAACATTAATTCTCATTGGTATGGTAGTCATTAATTCTCATCTGTATTCATATCATAAGAGTACAGTATTATTTCTTTCAAGCAAAATTTAAAAATAAACAATTCAAGATGGAATGATCGTTGTTTTTGATCGCCTGATGTTTATTTTATTTTTGTAGACTTTCTATTGGCTGCATATTAAACTAACATTTTTCAAGTTATTTTAAGGAACATTATTTTTTCATGTCATGAACATGGATGGTCAAAATGAGAAATTTTAAATATTCTGTAAAAACTGTAAATAATGTTAGCTAATAAAAAAACAATAGCCACATGTTATCATGTACGTGTATTATAATAGTAAATTCAACTTTATAGCTACATAGAAGAATAAATAAAAAGTGATGTTGAATAATATTACTTCAAAAATAGCAACAGGATAATGATACCGCAAAACATGAGAATATTCATGTGGTTTCCTAAAGTGTAAGATAACGGCATTTAATGGTACATTGTAAGAGAGAAAAGTGAAAGGTAAATTAGATGTGCGGAGAAATTTCAGCCCATGTTGGAGATGAAGTCTTGATCCTTATGTCAATATACATTACAGTTACTGTTAGTTATGTAGACTATATATTAAACACACACACCCTAAAATAGACCTACAGGTGATCACATAGTACTGTATCAAAAACCTAAACCAAACCAGAAATATCCTTTTTTAAAAGAACCCCAAAAAAACCATGTAACACAACCATCAATAACATAGGTGATAAATCAAATGTATCCCTTTAATTACATGTATCCTAGCAACCTATTTCTAAATATGACATCGACCAGATACTAATTACACCGTGACTATAGTCAAGGACAATTAGTCATATCCACAATTACATCAGTAACTTAGCCTATTCAATTCTGCCTGTCATTAAAACATAACTGTATCTCTTTGCATATTTTACAATTTTATTATAAGAAGCATTATAATTTGAATTTGACGTTTTGTTGGAAGGTAAAAAAAAATAGTTATAGATTGTTTTCTAGAATTTTCAGTTACATTTGTATAGTTAGTATTGTATTTTTTTGTATTGTTCAGAGTGTTTAGAAAGTAAATATGGTACCCAAAATTTGGAATAAAACTGCCATGCCATAATGAGCAGTGGTTTTCAACTTTAATAAGCCCTTGGAAAAAATACCATACTATTGGAATTTGATAATTATATGCAGTTTTCAAATTCATAATTATAATAAACTTAAGCAACAGTGCCACTATCATTGAATAACTATTGTTCTAGACAAAATGATAATTTTATGCACTATGGTGCTTTTAACTGCACATGGTAGATCATTAACACTTCTTTCATAGTACCAATATGCAAAGATCTTATACGTAGGTACGATACATAGAACAAGAGCCTGAATCGTTTGATCTAATTACATGTAGCTATACTATCATGCAAAGGGCAGGGTAGTCTTGCATGTTTTGACAGCTAACAATTCTATTAATTTTATATAGTTTAATATGTTATAAAACGTGATGATTGATCGCAATGTGATATAAGAACTTAAAAACAGTAAACACTGAATCAGATTCAAGCTAATTAAAGTCTAATAGTGAAAAAACTGAGACAATTTTAGCAAGAATTCTATCACATGAAGTACAATAAAAATTAAATCTTGACTTGATTGATTGCTTTAGTTACTGTTTAGTTTAAATTCTTCCTGTATTGGTGTAAGGAGTGTGTAAGTATAGTAAATATACGATAGTAGGTCTAATGCGTGCTAAGTCTTTTAAAATACTAGTTAACAATAGTAACCATGACACAGTTTTACAACTATGTACTAACAAGACAACTGAAGATGTTAAAGAGATGAAAAAAAACCCAACCAATTATTTTTCCATCCTGCTGTTTCAATAGACAAGATGTCTAGTACTTTACTACTATACCTAATTATTAGTCACTGTACATGTATGTCACATCGTTAATCTTTTAACTTTGAGGCACATGTGGATTTTCTTTTTTCAAAAAAGAAAGATAGGTCACCAGGCAACAAAACATACGCCCAGAACAGCTAAAGCATTTGGGCAGTCAACAAGGGTTGTCACATATTTTTTCTTCTGTCAGTAATGGAAACATTTACAACACACTAAAATCTGATTACGAGTAACAAACTATGAAGTAATTATCAGAAATCATTGGAATTTGTTTGGTTTCTAGTTCTGCCCTATAGATACTACATGTAATGTTTAGTATACAAACATTTAATATCAAGGGCCATAACTCTGGAAGTAATTTTCAGAATTCATTGAAAATCAATACGATTCTGTCTCGTGGCAATAGACAGTGTATATAAACAGAGGCTTCACAAGATTTTTCAAAGTGATGAAGACCATAACTCTGGCAGTAATAGTCGGAAATTGCTGAAAATTAATATTTATTCAGAAGCCCAAATCTACTGTGGTGTTCTGAATTGGCAATTTACGTGACCATGTGCAAAATCATATCTGATTGAGAAAAGCATAAGGGATGTAAATAGTGTGATATGACATCATATAAACCATCAGTAGATAGAAGATGATTTTTGTTTGAGTGTGCTATTGGGTCATCAGCCACTTATTAGAATAATCAATAATTTACACTTAATAATACTCACTTATAGCAAGCATCTGGTGATACCAACCTAATTCTACTACAGTAGTCAAATTACAAATGTATATGAATGTGAATCAGCCGGGCAATTCCGCAAAAAGTGGACATGGCATTCAAAATTTTTCTTTTCATTTACTGTAAAGCTGAATATATTTTATTAAATACATGTATAATAAGTTGAAGTTGATTAAATCACTTTTTATTTCTTCTCAAATTAATTTTTTGGCATCAAAACTACAGATTTTTAGCTGCACTGTTCCACATGTAATAAATACCAAAAATCGGTATCATCCACTCTTTTGTCATTTTTCCTGTATTACATGTACATGCCATGGTCAATCAATGTTAAGTTAAGTACCGTGATTACTGTAATGTGAGTTACCAGTTTTACTGGGTACAGGACAATTTGTCCCCTGGAACTAGTCGGATGCCACCAAATTATCCCCCGATAATTTGTAGTCCAGGTCTATTCGGCGCCGAGGACAATTCGTCCCCTAGGTCTATTCGTCCCCGGGTTGTTAAAAAAATATGAAGGCCAAAATAGAGGAAGAAATTAGTAGTTCCCCCCTCTTCTATTGAACACCAGTCCTTTCAATTTTCAATCATAGATCAATTAAATCCATAGTGGGAAACCATTTTAACATGTGATCATTTTTTTTACAGAACTATAATAGTAAGTGCAGAGGGACTACACCAAGTATAATTACACAAAACAAATCTACAGACAAGATACAATACATAGAAATCACAAACAAACGTATCAAATTAAGTGAATAGATCTGGGGGCTAGCCGTAAGTGTCCATTGCGTTGTACAGTCCTGGGCCCGTAGTGATACAGACTTCAGTTAAATTGAAAACAATCAGGAATACAACCCAGAGAAAAACATTGTGTGATACCAGCACGAGTCATAATCTGCATGCCACATGAAATATAAATGTAAGCATATTGAAGTAAAAAAATTACCTATACAAGTAACCATATCGGTAAAATGAATAAAAAACCAGGTAGTCTAAAACTACATGGTCTATGTTAAGTGAGAAACATTTTAAGTATTCAACAAAATTGAGGTATATTAACTATAAAGTTAGGGCATGTGTTCCATTTACCACAAAGCAGAGGAAAATCAAAACAATACTGAATACAAAGAAGCAAACTGAGAAAATGTAAACCGTCTCGAACGATAGCCACAAAGAGAGGTTGCCAGGCAACAAAACATACGCCCACAGCAGCTAAATCGTCCCAACGGTCGACAAGGGTTGTCACACATTTATTCTTTTGTAGATAATTGGGGAAATTTATTTACAAGTCAATTTCATTCAGATCCGATTATAATTTTCGTCGTTTGAGAGTTCACGAGTTCACAATTTCTACATACTGAAACAAGGGCCTCAACTCTGGAAGTAATTCACAGAAAATTTTGAAATTTGACAGGCTTTTACTAATTTAAATAATGCATATACCAGTAAATTTCATACAGATCGGATGATAACTTTTGTCATTGGCAACGCTCAAACGGTTCACAAAGTAAAACAAGGGTCATAACACTAGAAAAATTGACAGAAATTGCTGAAATTCAATAGAACTCTGTTTCACAAATGCAAATGGTGCATATAAATTTCATACATATCTGATGATAACTTTCATCAATTGAGCATTAACAAGGTTGAACAAAGTGAATCAAGGGCCATAATTATTGAAAATTGCTGAAATTAAATAGGCTTTATGGTTTCAATAATCTTAATGATGCATTTAAATTTCATACAGATCAGATCATAAATTGAAACAAGGGCCATAACTCCAGACATAATAAACGGAAATTATTGAAATTTAATAGGCTTCTTCATCTCACTAACGTAAGCAACACATATCAATTTTAAAACAATAGGATCATAACTTTTGGCGTTAGAGCATTCACAAGAAATTGTGGGCGTATAAAAAAAACGAAACGGAACATAGATCTGTATTTTAATCCGATTAAATCAGTAATCTATCAGTTGATGGAGGTCCTGTGTCCTCTTCAATTGACTCTTGCTTGAGTACCGTAACAAAAACTTGGTCTGGCACTCCTGTGTCGTCAGTGTCGATACAGTTTATTTTCAATATGATATGACGATGCGGCAAACTGATAAGCAATATGTATCGCAATATGGTGACATCACGAATTATGCCCAAAACAGTCTCAAATTACATTCTGTTTCAAGGCGTTTGAGATGGGTAAGCATGTTTGTTGCCACCTCTAATTACACAGGCAGCAGGTGGCTTTATTATTTTCTTTTGATAAAAAATAAAGCCAAATCGTTGACTAATGTTTGCCGGACGATAACAGTATAGTATGCGTGACTGAACCGAGATCGAGGTCGTGTATCTATAGTTAACGAGTCATCAAGAAGCTGACTTCAAATCGCACGGTGAAGCAAATAAACTGCGAAACCGATATTATTTTTGTTTCGTTATTAAAGAAATAATTAATTTGCGTTGTGGTAATTCAATAGTAATAGTTTCTTGGATTAATTAAGTAAAACTATGAAGTACAGTAAGTGATTTTATGAACAGGTACGTAGAAGCACTTCCAACTTACATGTAGGTTTAAGACCAGTTTGTTAACATCATGTCACAATGCCCGTGCAATTCATGTAAGGGACGCAATTTTAGTGTCTATACCGTGGCTTCAGGGGTCAAGCAATCCATTAAAATAGAACCAACCACCAGATGGAAAACACATAACGTCATTGTCAAATCTAAGGTGGCTTGCAAAGATAGCCAGCAACTGCCATAAATTTTCACACTTCTTTTTCTTGAGTTTCTAAATATTTCAAGGAAAAGTCACCTAAATTGTATACATGAAGCAATTATATCAATTGAGTTTCTAAATATTTCAAGGAAAAGTCACCTAAATTGTATACATGAAGCAATTGTATCATATGCTGGAGGTACTTTTAATACACTCTACGAGCTGACTGAATAAATATCAATCAAATTAGGAATTACGATGACTGCCAAAGATAGATACATGTATATAACAAGCCAACAGTGAGGCTGATGTCCCCCGCCGAAATCCCCAAATAAATAGATGACACATATTAATTAATCGCACATCTATTTTTTTCAAAAGTATCGAGCAATCAAACTGATTATCAACTATACACTAAGTTTCATCACTCTCTATCAGATAGAATCAAAGTTATCTTGTCCCTAAGCATCGACCAAGGAAATGGCTTATCTCTGCTTAGCTTTAGCTCGATATGTTAATCATTGAACTCAGTCAAGACAAACATCTATGTACATCAGGTTTAAACATTCTACCTCAATTAGAAGCAGAGTTGTTATGTTCCAAAGTCTTGACCAATCAAAATGCTTATTGCTCCTTAGCCTAAGCAGACAATTCTCATCATCGAACTTAGTCAAGGTATTGATGTAATGAAACTATACACCAAGTTTCATCACTCTGGCTTAATTAGAACTAAAGTTATCGTGTCCCAAAGCATCAACCAATCAAATTGCTTATCTCTGCTTACCCTAAGCAGAAAATGCTCATCTTCGAACTCCATCAAGGCATTGACTTAATAAACATCTACACCAAGTTTGAACTTTCTAGGTCAATTAGAAGGAGAGTTATTGTGTCCCAAAAAGTGTGACGGACAGACAGACGGACGGACGGACGGACAGACGAACCCTTTTTAATAGTCCCCTGCTTTCTTCGAAAGGCGGGGGACAATAATATTAATATAAGTGATAAGGTGGCTATGAAGACCTGGTTATCCCGAATGTCAGAGCCGATCTTGTTGATAAGAAGCCGCTTATAATTTGACATTGACACACAACCGAAGGTGAATAGGCCTACCTGTCCAGTTAATACAATGGACATCCCACATCGGTCCACAAAAGAGAGACATATACTAGTCGCCTCCTACTTCCGATTTCCAAGGCATTATAGTCCAAGCCTTGACTCTCATATAAATAAACCATTTGGTACTATTTCGTACCTATATCATGTTAGTTGATGACACTGGACTGCCAGAGCATGATGAATAGTAAGTTTTAAGTACATCAAAGATGAGCTAATCAAGGTAGCCATACAGTGTGTTATCTGGCAAATTTTGCCCAAGCAGCAGTGCTTCAGCTCTATCTATTTTTGTATTCCCGCTGTCAAAGGGCTTGGTTTTTCATCCTAATAGTAATAGTACACCAGACATTGTCCTTGCCAAGCCCTCCATCCTGCGCCACTTACATGTACTAAACTGAAACCACCAGAAAATCCTAAAGAAATTTCTCGACCAACACTGTGAGCGAACCCAGGACCTGCTAGCGAGCCAGTGTCTTCCTTACTGAGCCATAAATAAAAAGCTAATAGTATAGTAATAATAGTAATACATGAAAAATATTGTATGTTTATTCCACATACATATTGTAGCCTACTTAATCTGAAACAGTTATATTTGATTTAAGGACTATCAATTTAGAAGTACATGCACATACCTGGCCATAGGCAAAAACAGTTGCATTATATCCATCAAAACACCTGAAAAATAGAAATTGGTTAGTTTTGAATAAACCTTTATATTTAAAATTCCCTTGAGAGAGAGAGAGAGAGAGAAACATCTACTTGATAGGATCTAGGTACAATTTTATTTCAACAAGCCAATGAGGCTGATGTCCCCCACCGAAATCCCGAAATAAATAGATGACACTTATTAATTAATTGCACATTTATTTTTTTCAAAAGTATCGAGCAATCAAACTGATTATCAACTATACACTAAGTTTCATCACTCTCTATCAGATAGAATCAAAGTTATTTAGTCCCAAAGCATCGACCAATGAAATTGTTTAGCTCGAAATGTTTTTATCATTGAACTAAGACATTTTTGATCAATGCATAGGTCATGTTATTTTATTATTTTTTAATTGTTTTTAATTTTGGATCTATACATGTATATTCAGTTATTAATGCTTGGTTAGTCATTAGAGAGGCAGACAGCAATTAATCTGTCAGTCAATTTATTAAATTATTATAGGCCGGCAACTAAAGTCTCTTCTAACTATTTGTTTTAAATGCCTTAAGACTCAAGACTTTATCCTTCAATAGTTATATGTTTATGTCAACACCTTTTATACTATTTATAGTAACTAATTTATATAAAAAGATTAGTTGGAGAGACCGACTTAGGGAACCTATACTAGTTGGAGGTCCGATTTATTGGAAATTATAAGTTGTTTAATTAATAATTGTTGCTGTTATTTGCTCCTGAAATAAAGTCTTGAAGATCCATTCCAAGAATCTGTATTCATTTCCGATACTTAGAGATCACAGGACGGCGAACTACATTCCCCGAAAGTCGCACTTTGTTACATTCAACTAATGAACATCAACATCAAGTTTAAACAGAGTTGTTACATGTATGTTCCAAAGTCTTGACCAATCAAATTGCTTATCACTCGTTAGTCTAAGCAGAAAATACTCATCATCGAACTTAGTCATGGTAATGATATAAAGAATCTATACTTCTATACACCGAGTTTCATCTCTCCCACTTAATTATTACCAAAGTTATTGTGCCCCAAAGCATCAACCAATCAGATTGGTTATCTCTGCTTACCGTAAGCAGACAATGTTCATCATCGAACTCCATCAAGGTATTCACCTAATGAACGCCTACATCAAATTTGAACATTCTACCTCAATTAGAAGGAGAGTTATTGTGTTCCAAACTCTTGACCAATCAAATCGCTTATCGCTCTGCTTAGCTTACCCTCAGAATAAAATGTTCATTATCGAACTTAGTCATTGTATTGATGTGCTAGAACTATACACCAAGTGTCATCACTCTCACTTAATTAGAACTAAAATTACCATCATGTCCCAAAGAATCAACCAATCAAATTGCTTATCTCTGCTTATACCTGAGCAGACAGTCATCGAACTCCATCAATGCATTCACCTAATGAATGCCTACACCAAATTTGAACATTCTACCTCAATTAGAAGGAGAGTTATTGTGTTCCAAAGTCTCGGACAATCAAATTGTTTATCTCTCTCCTTACCCGGAGCAGAAAATGCTCAATATCGAACTTAGGCAAAGTATTGATGTAATGAAACTACACACCAAGTTTCATCACTCATTTACATGTAACTAGAACTAAAGTTATCGTGTCCCATAGCATCAATTGCTTATCTCTGCTTACCCTAAGCAGGAAATGCTCATCTTCGAACTCCATCAAGGCATTGACCTAATAAACACCTATGTACACCAAGCTTGAACATTCTAGCTCAATTCCATGCTTTCATCGAAAGGTGGGGGACAATAATATGCTTCTGCACAGGAACCTTGAGCTGTGGTAGAAATTTTGATGTCACATACATTACAAGAATACAAGTTTAGGATTGAAACCACACCACTCTATTCATTGAGAGACCTTATGAAATAAAGTGCATGCATTAAACCACATTCAAATATGATACATGTACATGTAGGCTATGTACCTACAATGGGATACTCAAGTGACTAACCAGACTGGCTAGTCTTGTACAAATGTTGTTTTTGTTACTGGTACAGTATGACACTGGTATATAATTAAATCAATAAAATCATGTCTGCATCAAGTTTTTCAACTGGTTAAAACCTACACAGCTATATGTAATACAACTGGTAACTGTCAAACTTTTTCATTTTCGGTCAATGAAATAAAGTACAATGAAAAACCAATTCATCTTTACACCTAATTTTTTTAAGGGCACCAAAATCAAAAATATGTACATGTACTATGTCAGCTATGTAAACAGCAGATTAGCTAAAAAAAATAGTTACAGTACAAGGGCAAAGGAAAGGGAGACAGAGAAACTTGGTCATTTCAGGACTAACATTTCAATAATACATTTGCACTACCCACTGGCACTAGGGGTCTTTAGCAGTGGGAGGAAGCCAGAAGACCCATAGAAATGCCATGAGGTTAGACAGCTGCCCCTACTCTTTGTCACATACTATTTGAACGAACTTCCACTTGACTCAATGACAGACCTCATGATCTAAAGTGCACATGTTAGACCATTTGGCAAAGGACAGAAGACAAATGTGTCTTGGATTAGCAGATTTAAAGTCTCAAACTTTGCAAACATTCATATTTGACCATGCCCCATCTTACTGAACATTTGACAAAAATATTACTTTATACTATAGATCTCTAACATATTCTCATTTGTCAACTAGAAGAGACAAAGTGAAAAGCTTAAAATAACAACACTTTTAAGTTAGTAACAATACTCACCCATCAATTAAATGTCTGACACATGTATCATAAATTGTTTCTTGACCAGTTGGCAAGTCGTACACATGATCGTAAGTAAAACATTTATCCTTTCCAATTTTAACCTGTGGCTGTTCATCTTCTATCACTGATGTACATATCTGACACATATCAATTTTTTCTCTGGCATTTTGTGGCCGAATTCTAATAGAAATAATAAAGAAAGAAACTCAATAACTTCATTAAGTGGTGTGAAATGCATTGAATTGTCAGAATGAGCCACATAGTAATCACCCAGGTGATGTCAAAAATCTCCTGACATTAACATTATATATAGCTAACTAGATGTTTAGGCCTATGTGGTGATAAAACTAACTCAATTGCTAATTGTACAACATTTTGTCATTGAACTTACATCACACAGATACAAATTATTGCACTTTACTGTATTTTCAACAATAAATTTTGGGTTCAAGCTATTAACTCATGACTTCAATGACAAATAATTTCATCGGCAGGTAAGCAAGTTTTCTGTCTGCATGATCCTATAGCTACAAAACAACTCTTAATTTTGGCTTTCTTTTTAAGGAGTTGAGGAAACTTTATTGTTTATGTGGTGGGAATATTCAACTGTGGTGTAGATTTTAGGTGCCATTATAGAGTGGAATGTTAAGTTTAGTGAAACTACCTGTGGAGGCTAATAAAAAAAAGGGATACATGTACATCATAGTGTGCTATGACTATGAGGGAAATTTTGCCCGTACAGCAGTGCTACAGCCTACTCTTATACGGTATTGAATTCCAACTGCCATGGGATTTTTCACGTGCACACCATCTGAAGGGCAAGACAGCTGTCTTTGTCAGCACGCCCCCCCCCCCACACCGGGATCGAACCTGCTACCTCTACCATCCAGGCTGCGATGAGCCAGTGTCTTATTTACTGGTACTTAATTAACTCGACTGCATAGTTTGAAATACTTATTAACAACAGTTTAATCTAGTTATTTACTGGTACTTAAAGGAGCTAAATCGCTAATATTTTGGGCCTAGAAATTGGCACAAATGGGTCGCAACACATATAATAATGTAATATGAATTTATATAAAATGTTTTACATTTAATCGTTTCCGTTTTACTGGGAATTGTCATCAGTTATGTTCGGCGAAATATGCCAGAAGTCTCAACTGAAAGACAGTTTCTAGCGTCTGGTTATTCCAGTCAACACCGATAGTATATTACACATGCTCTCCAAATAAGAATATGGCATCACCGTTTGACAGGACTTCTGTGGAATATGTCTAGCCTCATTCTTTGAGCACCTTGTTACAAATGGCGCTGAAACGCATTATGGTACACGATTCGTGTACCAATGGTAAAATGTTCATCTTTTCCAGGTAAGACCACAACACCAATGCTGATTTAAATTGCAAAAAAATTTGTGTTTTCAATGTCGAAGATTTTGGATGATATTGAGTTATGGACTTAGCTACTTTAATTAACTCGACTGCATAGTTTGAAATACTTATTAACAGTTTAATCTAGGCCAAACTGTAAGATACATGATTACATGGAAATAATTAGGCCAAAAGGCTACAGGATTTGGCTATTCTACAAATTTTCACATACTGCACTGGCCCTCCACCTCAAAGCCTCAATTGTTTTTTTTTTTAAAATACAAATTACCATGTTGGCATCAATAATATTAATAACAATATTACCTAATAGCAACCCGGACACTGCTTTCATCATCTGCCATGATCAAATCTCTCTTTTAGCCGAATGTTTGATTAAATTCTTTGACTGTCAACAATTATTTTTGTCATTCATTCAAATGAGCATTTAATATTATTTTTTTTTTTTTACTTTTCAAATATCAAACCACTAAGTGACACTGTCGCATAAATCGGCGACCTCTTTTTTTCGAATCAAGATATTTATCTTCCATAAAGTGCAAAACGGAGTCCTAATTTTTGTTATCGCAATAATAAGGCACAAATACATCCACTTCCATCACACCTGGTGAATTTCTTGGATGCAAATTTGCTTGAATGACATCCCAATCGTCATAACATTACACACTGTCCATTGATTACAACTCAAAGGCGCTATTTCTAAAAATAATTTAGTCTGGGCCAATCCTATCTTTCGTTACATACAAATTATAAATATCCACTTGCCCTGACATCTATTGAGTAAATTTAAAGTTAAGGAAAGCTAACTCCTCACTCTTATGTCTTTTTACTGTACATAAAAATCACTAGAAAGATCTGACTTGTTAAAAATCTGCAGGCCTATCCATTAATTCACATCAGCATTCTTATTTTCAATTTGTGTTAACAGTTTCTCAAAAAGAAATTAATCTTTAACTTTAATAAATCAGGCCAATGTTTGTTGAACCAATGAAAAGGGACCCAAAAAAGAGATCCTATAAAAAGGTCCTAGGGCTGCAAGAGCACAGTATGAAAACTTGAGGGGCATATGAGATTTAGATAAAGAGCTGACCGTTCTCAATGTAACATTTCAAAAATAGATAATGCAAAATGAATATATTTAAAATTTCATTCAAGTTACTTTATTTTGGGCAAAGCTATCAATCCAGTAGCCTACAATTGTAGTTTTGACAATCTCGCTTCTCCATTTCTAAATTACCATAAATCATTAAATGGACAAACCGTTCTGATCTACTTAAAATCGTAGCCATCCAATGGCTTTGAGTGTTGATAGTGGTCTTGTCGTGATATAAATAGGCAGATTTAGCAGTTAAAATATACTGTATTACAAGTTTTCTATATCAACAGAATGACCAAACATCTAGAATGACAACGAAAATCGGTTGGGGGTGCACAGAATACAGAATATTATTTAGGATGCGGTACCTTTTTATGTGATATTTTCATGGAAAAATGTGACAAATTATTTATTACATTAAATCAGTCTGTGATATTTTTATCTGCATTTTTTATGTTTGTGCAATATTTCAAACAAAGGGATGTTTTTGGAACTTGCATATTTCTTATGTTCCAAAAGAATGAAAAAGCTTGTGTAAAAAAGACAATGAAACCCATTAGGCCTACATTCATAATACCCTTACACTAGGGCCTACTTCCCAGTTTATTTGGCTATATTCCATAAAGTTGTGTTAAAATAACCATTAGGCTATACCTCTACCGGTAAATAACATTTAAGGATATCTAATTAATAATTACATTTTAATCTTTCAAATGAACCGCCCAAGTTTTTAATTTTATTTCAGTCCTAATGAAAATTCCCAAAACCAGAGAAAAATCCAAATCCCACTGTTCCCACAGTCAAGAATTGATTCGGAAAAGTTATGAGAACCATAACGGCAGATACATACAAGTAAAATAGAGATATTACAAGACAGAATTGACAAATTAATAAACTGATGAGGACAATAACTATATTGCTATTTATGTTAATTAACAGTGTTCCCAATCCCAAGAGGCATTACTATTGTAGAGAAGACCTTTCCAAAAAACCCAAAATTATATCTGTACATAAAGGAGAATTTAAAGAAAGCTACATCATTACCCAGTCTCTAACATCATAGCTGCAGTAATCGCAGCCAGCATAATACTAACCGAGAGAGAAATGTAGTTTAACATCTTTCGACACAACTAAGTCATTTTGGGTGTAATTCTCATTCACTTTGATTCATGCACTCTGTTTGTTTGACACTCTTGGGGTATAAGTTCAATGTGGCGAAAATACTCATTCACTTTGATTCACTCACTCCGTTCATTTCACATTTTCCTCTCTGTCGGATAAGCTAGTGATTTGGCATCAGACAGTATCTGGTCAGCTCTATTTATCTCCACGATCAGAAGCTGAAATACTACCAGACTGCATTTCTGGTGGTCTATTTTTCAAAATTTTGGCGCTTTTGACTGGTGCTGACACTGCTTGCACATAGGGGTTTTCAGCAGTGTGAGGAAACAGGAGAACCCAATATAAAACCCCTTAGGTTGGACAAATAATAACAGATTGAAAGATTAGCTAAATAAATTTTATTGGATATGGAACAAATAATACACATTTTCCACTAATAAAAACTCCAAGGAAACAAAGAAAATAGATATGGATATATTTGACAATTTAGTAACAAGATGATAATAAAAAAAAAAAGTTAATAAGAAAACATATACTTATGGAAATCAGCTACAAGTATAGGTAAGGTTGAGCAAGTGCTCTTTGAAATGTCGCCTAACTATAGGCTTACTAGTGGCTATTTTCCATAAGAAAGTGTTTTCTTATTACTCTATCCAGTTACTGAATGCCACCTAAAGATTTATAAAAGTTATTTAACAGAAAAAGAATAATGTAATATACATAATGCACAAGAAAATAAAAATAAAATTAAAAATAAGATCAACATTATATCAGAAACAAAAATCTGTTAAAAAATATTGATATTTAAAAATTATTTTGATTCTTGGACCAGGTACCTCTTACTACGAGCTTCTTAAGGGCACCATTCTTTGAAACCAGCGGTTGCCAGGCAAGATAAATCCACATTTTGCAAGAGATGGATAGAGAAAAAGCTAAAAAAAAAACGTGTTTTTTCTTACAATCAAGGGCCATTATCCAGGACGTTATGGTCTGAAATGAGCAAATATTGAAAGGGACTGTGATCTTCATGATATTAAGATATATTATAAGTTTCATCAAAATTGAACAAAAAACGGTGACCTCTAGAAAGTCCACAATCTTTGTATTACATACTTTTACACAATCTGTGTACAGTGAACGGCCATTTTATTGGGCAGTTTCGTTTCTCGAGTTTCCTGAAATTCAAACTCAATCCGCCTTATGGTGCAATGGTGATATGTTTAAACAGTTTTTAAAATCGTATAAAAATTGTGACCTCTAGAGGAGCCACAAGCGAAAAATGTGATTTTACGTACAATCAGGAGCCATAATCCAGGAAGTTATTGTCTGATATGTGTGAATATCCAAAGGAACTGAGATCTTTGGGATATAAACATATATTTTAAGTTCAATCAAAATACTTTTACACCATTTGCGTTCAAGGAGCGGCCATTTTGTCGGACAGTTTCGGTCCAATTTTTGCGGAATTCGAACTGAATCATCATCAGGGTGTAACAATGATATATATAAATGATTTTTAAAATCGGATAAAAACTGTGACCTCTAGAGGGCCCACAAGCTAAAATCCTGATTTTCACGTACAATCGGGTGTCATAATCCAGAAACTTGCGGTCTGATATGTGTGAATATCGAAAGGAACCAAGATCTTTGGGATATAAACACGTTTTAAGTTTCATCAAAATTGTGAGCTCTAGGTCTAGAGGGTCCACAACCTTGATATTACATACTTTAACACTGTTTGCGTACAGGGAGTGCCCCAAAGCATCAACCAATCAGATTGCTTATTTCTGCTTACTTTAAGTGGACAATGTTCATCATTGAACTCCATCAAGGCACTGACCTAATAAACACCTGCACCAAGTTTGAACATTCTAGCTCAATTAGAAGGAGAATTATTGTGTTCCAAAGTCTCGACCAATCGAACTGCTTATTGCTCTGCTTACCCTCAGCAGAAAATGTTCATTATCGAACTTAGTCAAGGTATTGATGTAATAAAGCTATACACCAAGTGGCCTCACTCTCACTTAATTAGGACTAAAGTTATCGTGTCCCAAAGCATCAACTAATCAAATAGCTTATCTCTGCTTACCCTAAGCAGATAAAGCTCATCTCCGAACTCCACCAAGGCATTGACCTAATAAACACCTACACCAAGTCTGAACATTCTAGTTCAATTAGAAAGAGAGTTATTGTGTCCCAAAAAGTGTGACGGACAGATGGACAGACAGACCCATTTTAATAGTCCCCTGCTTTCTTCGAAAGGTGGGGAACAAAAACATAATGTAATAATAATATCAACATATCAAAAACAAAAAATCTCTTAAAAATATTAATATAAATATTTACCTATGAGAAAGTAATGACTGCATCTTAAGAAAACAATACTAATATCTAATATTTGCTTGAATAGTAATTATAAAGTTAAAACAAGCTGTAACAATTTTTTTGTACAAATTTTAAATAATATAACAATTTGAATTATTCGATGTATTTTCAATAAGATATATCTTTTTCATTTATGGTAATTGTCTGAAAATTTTAGACAATAAGTGATTTTAAGGATGTTATATTGACACTCTAATTCAGTTTTACAAAACTTTGAATAAGAATTTGAAATTATGTTATGTAATAACAACAAAAATTGTACAAAATAGTGATTTTTTTTGATTTTTTTTTAGAAAGATACTTTAGATAGTGATATTTACAATGTTGCTAAAATAATATTAATATCATACATATGAAAGACTTTTTTTATGCTCAAGGAATTTAGTTACTCTAATTCAGTTATACAAAAACTTGAACAAATATTTTAAATCTTGAAATCTGAGGATTTGCTGGTTGTATTATAGTTATTAGTAGTCCTGATCACAAGTTTCTATCTATGCACATCATTCCTAAGATACATGTAGGAGCTTGCTAATCGGCCTTCTATTGAAAAATGTATTTTGAGTATAAAGAATATAGCGGGGTCAAATCAATGAAGACAACTAGCATAATTTAGAAATAAATGATTCTAAAATGGTAAAGATTGTATAAATGGTAAACATTGGTGCTGGGTGATATTTATGTTTATATAAACAATAGCATTATATCACTTGTTATTATTCATACTGAAAACCTGTGACATTAGATATGTTTTCACAGACCATCTCCCTGACATTCAAACATATTCATTTTATCTATTTAATACTAAAACTGGCAATAAAATACTATCAATGTGCTTGTAATGTTCACAATTCAATATATTAAATACTGGCATTCATTTCTTGAGTCCATGGAACGTAAGATTAATTTACAACAGTATTTAAAAGGAAATTGTATTTACTGCTGTAAATTAACATTTTATCAAACAAATCTCAACTTGTTTTGTTTATTTGATCAAATATAGCAACCATTTTATGAATATATTCAATTTACTGATTATTGGCCATTTGTATGTTAACATATTTAGTGAAATATTTTGATATATAGTCACATAATTTTTCTAGTATCAGAATATTTCCCATATTGCCCTAAGTAATATGGGTATAAATAAAATAAGATCCAAATAATCATATTACTGCATTGACTGCTTTTGAGAAGAGAACCTAGGTTAGCTACAAAATGTAGCTTATAACATAAACAAATATAAAAAATAAATGATATTATGAGAATAAATTTCAAAAACTAATTTAGTGCTGAGTATTTCAATTATAGCCACAATATATTATATATCACATATTCATAATTATTTTAAATTTCATGTATCATTAATTTGCATACATTTGTATCATTTGTTATAATCTCAGTATAGGGATTATTAATCTATATGGGGAAGGGCGGGGTCGATAGCTGAATGGTTAGCGTGTGCGCATTGTATCATAAGGCCTGTCATTGAGTCAACTGCTGTGGTTTCGATTCCCCAGTTGTACGTGACAAGGAGTAGGCTCGCCTATCCAACCTCATGGGTTTCCTCTAGGTCCTCCAGTTTCCCCCCCCTGCAAAAGACCCCTACGCGCAAGCGAATTATTGAAATAAAATTGAACCATATTTTAGTCCCGAAATGACCTAGTTTGTGTTGAGTGGAATTAAACCCCATCTCTCTCTGTGTCTTTATAGGTGCAGTAAAGTAGGACACATAACCCCATTTCATATCATGCAATAGCTTCCCTGAGCAAGATATTATGGTTTGATTGAAGGTGTTATTCATTCATCATTCTTACATTCTATCCATGATACCGGTTTCTTTAATATGGTAATGAACATCTAGCCTCACAATTTGAGAACTGCTTGTTTGAATAGCAGTTGCCCATGCGTAACCAGGAGTTTATTTCTTATGTGGCTGATTATCACGTAAATTTCGCTAATTGTTTACAACCTACCCAGACCCTCCGTCTATTGAACCTTGGGTGGTTCTGGGTGACCGAGACTACTAATAAAGATGTTGCAATGAATTGCATTGATATTTATATCTTACATAGCCAACTTTACTTGATTTATCTACATTAAAATTGTACATAAACTGTTAGTTATTAGCGTAATTTGCAATTTTAAATATTGTTACAAAAACAAAAGTAGTGAATTATTAGAAAAATTTATCTTGTCTGGTTAATTGGTTATAACTGGACGACCTTGCTGCAGTTGATAACAAATGATCATTTAATACAGTAATTAGTCTTAATTTGTGCTTGATAAAGATAAGAGAACACTTGTCAAAACATCGTGAGTCTATATGTAAAACCAGTGTTTGTTTTCCACATAAACTGTGTTGTGAATCTTCTTTAAAGAAGAGCTAAAATTAAAACTATTGACATGTTTAACTGTTTACCTTTGTAATATTAGACAAAGTAATGAATAAAACATATAACAAATACTAAGAAAAATGCAACAATACTATATACAAGAAAACACCGAAAAACACAGGAAAACAACCGGAAAACACCATGTTATAATGAATACTGGAAAACACCGGAAAACACACTAAATACCGGAAAATATCCTAAACAGGTAACACGGAGCCTGGTCCTCTGTGTGCCTGGGTTAGGGTTAGGGTTAGTTTCTGGTTTATAGTATAGCCCTTCTTCGGGTTACCTATTTAGGGTGTTTTCCGGTATTTAGTGTTTTTCCGGTGTTTTCCGGTATTCAGTATGTTTTCCAGTATATAGTACAGCCCGAAAAATGTATCAAAAATAGTATCTCTCATTTCTTTATCAACAATCCTATAAGCATACTTTTGGTCATGGTGAAGGCAATTAGTAAAAATTCCATCTCAATCAAAGCACAGTGGTACAATTTGCATGTACCTGTACTGCAGTCTCTGCACCTTCAGATATCTTGTCAACCTTCTCTTCTAAACAGGCTTCTTTTTTATGCAATAGATTGTAGACCTTGTATATCTGAAATAATCCACAACAACCCTAAATATTTGTTAATCAACTAATTAGTATAAAACCTGGTACACCATGACAGAAATCAAACAAACTACAGTAGAGAAGCCAATCTGATTAAAACACAGATCCTATTTCGTTTCGTTTTTTATAGTTCAAAAATTTGTTTTACTTGTCTTTACTACATTAGGTTCTGAAATTTCCAGATCCTAGTGTAGTAAAGACAAGTAAAACGAAATTTTGAACTGTAAAAAACTAAATTACTAAACGAAATAGGTGTATTAATATTTTTAGAATTTTTGCTCTTATAATTAATGTTGGCATTATATTTCATTAATTAATGTCTTTGGCCAATTGTACTAAAGGTGCACTAAAAATATAAGTGACAGCAGGTTGACACATAAAAAGAGTTATAGAGCCAAAACATAGCTGGTTCTATGTGTCAACAAAATACATGTGATTGGAAATTTACTTATTGCATCATTTGGTTTAAGGGACCAATCATATCAGTAATTGCACAGGTTCTGGGTCATGAATACACTAGTTTTGTGCATGTTGTTTATAGGTACTATAAAAGAAATCATGGCAAACTTTTAAGCCAGATTTCATTAGATTCCGGAGAGATTACCATCTGAGTGTCGAGACAGCAGACAGGTTCTGGAAGGGAAAAGATGTAGCAGGACTCATCCAGCGAGCCTGGCTGGCTAGTGTTTGTATCCCTTTATCCGGCTATGATATATAAAATGTAAAAACAAACTGTTGCATTGTTATTCCTGGTAAGACAAACGTCTTAAGAAAACAGTAAGAAGTAAATACACAACGTGAAACAGAAGCAAAGACAGCTAGAGACAAATTCTAGACGATCACAAGGCTACTAAGATATGTAGTAAGAAAAGATGTATGGGTCGTACGTAGGATGTGGCGACCGGTTTTCCAACGCCCGCTCTCCACGTCTGACGAAAGACCCATGGTGCTACATATTATATGTGTTTTAATCAGATTGGATTTTTAAGTTTGATCCTCAATGTTTAAGGGCAAATAAACATTGTTTTGAAATTATTTTAAAGAGTGTTCAAATATATTTCTTATACGTGTAGCCTAGTACAATGTACCCAAGAGGGAAGTAATAGTCAAGATAAAGGGTTTCACAATTGGCAGAAAATAGTGGTCTTCTTGCAGGAAGAGGATGGAACTACTAATTTCTTCCTCTATTTTGGTGTTCATATTTTTTTAATTGCACGTGGCCGAATAGACGAGTGTCGAGACAGCAGACAGGTTCTGGAAGGGAAAAGATGTAGCAGGACTCATCCAGCGAGCCTGGCTGGCTAGTGTTTGTATCCCTTTATCCGGCTATGATATATAAAATGTAAAAACAAACTGTTGCATTGTTATTCCTGGTAAGACAAACGTCTTAAGAAAACAGTAAGAAGTAAATACACAACGTGAAACAGAAGCAAAGACAGCTAGAGACAAATTCTAGACGATCACAAGGCTACTAAGATATGTAGTAAGAAAAGATGTATGGGTCGTACGTAGGATGTGGCGACCGGTTTTCCAACGCCCGCTCTCCACGTCTGACGAAAGACCCATGGTGCTACATATTATATGTGTTTTAATCAGATTGGATTTTTAAGTTTGATCCTCAATGTTTAAGGGCAAATAAACATTGTTTTGAAATTATTTTAAAGAGTGTTCAAATATATTTCTTATACGTGTAGCCTAGTACAATGTACCCAAGAGGGAAGTAATAGTCAAGATAAAGGGTTTCACAATTGGCAGAAAATAGTGGTCTTCTTGCAGGAAGAGGATGGAACTACTAATTTCTTCCTCTATTTTGGTGTTCATATTTTTTTAATTGCACGTGGCCGAATAGACCTAGGGGATGAATTGTCCTTGGGGTCGAATAGTCCTGGGGGACAAACTGTCTGGGGGACAGATTGTCCCATACCCGGTAAAACTGTTAACTCACATTACTGTAATCACGGTACTTAACTTTGATCGACCATTTAATACAGGTAATATGACATAAAGAGTGGATGATCCTGATTTTTGTATTTATTACATGTGAAACAGTGCAGTAAACTTTACATTACACAGTTGTGTAATAATATTTCAAATTTTTGCCAGAGTGATTTTTTTTAATAAAAGACTGGTAAAAAATTAACCCTATCTCAAAATGTCAAAATTCTAAAACAAAGTGAAATAAAAGGGGTGATGTATAAGCTTATATAAAGTGACATATATTCTTTATTAGTTACCACTAGTTAACAAATCATACATCATTTTGTAGCTTATCAATTGCAATGCAAAGGTGCTTCTGATCATTACTTAAAATGTCCAAAACCTTGAGATAACCTGATAGAGAATACAAATGACATAATTATCACCTAAATAAATACTAGTACCTAAGTTAAACTGATAATGACAGCCCTTAACAACCAGCAAACCAAATAAAGATAGGTTGCCAGGCAACGAAACATACGCCCACAGCAACTAAATCGTCCGGGCAGTCAACAAGGGTTGTCGCATATTTTAACTTTTTTCGGTAATGAAACATATATAATACACTAAAATCTTATTAAGAGCAACAACTCACGAAGTAATTATCAGAAAACTATTAGAATTTGTTTGGTTTTTATAAAGTTCTGCCCCATGCTAACGTTTTGTATGCAAAGCTTTTAATATCACGGATTTAACTGTTTAAGTCATAAAAATTCATTGAAAATCAATATACTTGTTCGTCTCAAGATCTTAAACTCTGTGTATCAATCTGAAGTCAATCGGATTATAACTTTAGCCTCTAGAGCGTCCACAAGATTTTTCAAAGTGATCAAGGGCCATAACTCTGGCAGCAAATATTGGAAATCGCTGAAAATCAATAGGCTTCTTCGTCTCATGACCTCAAACACTGTGTATAAATTTAAACTCAATCGGATATTAACTTTAGCCTCTAGAGCATCCACAAGATTTTTTGAAGTGATCAAGGACCATAACTCTGGCAGTAATTATCAGAAATCGCTGAAAACCAATAGGCTTCTTCGTCTCAAGACCTTAAACACTGTGTATAAATTTAAAGTCAATCAGATATTAACTTTAGCCTCTAGAGTGTCCCCGGACGGACGGGGGCGACGACAATATACGACCACATTTCAATGTGGGCGTATAAAAACATAAGATTTAAATTACAGACACACCCCAATTTTCATGCACAAGTAATATTCAAGCACAGCTTCAGAGCTTTTCAGAGGGGTGTATTAACTCACCAATCCTTGATCATTAAAAAGTAGATATTAAAGGAACATTACTAGGACAAAGTAAAACCAGGTGCATCTTTATAGCAGAATAACTGTTAGCATACCTACCATTAATAAAGCTATGATGAAACCCAAGATAGCTCCACCAAACACATCACTCCAATGATGTTTATAATCTGAGATCCGAGTCATACATGTATAATATGCCATATAAAATAACCATGTCTGGATGAAGGGTTTTAACAATAAAACTCCATCCCATGTAAATCTCTTCTCTAAATATAACTGTTCAAATATATATATATATACATATACTAAGCATTAAATACAATTTTTATTCCTTTATTTATAATCAATAATTCCAGAATCAGAGAAAGCCAGAATGCATTAAAGAGAGAGAAAAAGAGACATAATCAGATCATTTCTGGATTAATTAATATATGGTATATTTTTTATTTCACTAATTTGCTTTTGCATACATGTAGGGTTCTTTAGAAGTGTGTGGAAATCCTAGTGCTAGCAACTTAATAAAACCCTGTAAGTTAGGCAAGCAACTCACTCCTTGACATGCATAAACCCAGTACTGAATCCATGACTTGTGTGGATAACAGAAACATGAAAACAGATCTGTGACACAAATAGATGAGCAGAATGGTCAGAGTAACACCCTTGATTGAAACATATTTTCTCTATAGGACATTCCTTATCAAATATGTGGTATAATACCTACCACCGTAAACATCATGGTGTATACTGCCATTGAAGCATGACCTGATGGGAATGATATCCTGCAACATAGAACAGTTTGAAATACATGGTGTTTCTTACTTCTAAATGTATCTATTGAAAAAGTGACGTTTAATAATTAAACAAATCAACCAATCACTTTCCCTTTTGTCAGTGGTGCAGGACGGAGGCCCCACGGTAAGGAACAACATGGTCGTTCGAATGGATTGAAAAACCTAGGTCCTGTGTAAACACTGATGTGCACATAAAAGAACTCTTGACAGTTGTATTTTGAAATAAGATTTGGCCGTAGTGCCACTGTCCGGTCAGAACTTCCCTCAAAGCACACAGCATGTCATATGCCTGCCTTCATCAGCCCGGTTGGTGCAGAAAGGTATGATGTTAAACCCCATTTCATTTCATCCTTTTCATCATAAAATGGTAATATAAAGACTAGTCACATTTATAATAATAGAATCAAAGAAAATGAAACAAAGATATATACCTTGCTTCTAATAATTGTTTTGCATTGTCACCAGTGCAATGTGGGTCTTCTATAAAGCCTGCACTGCAGTTGAATTTACTATAATCTGGTTTGCAAACAGTAATAAAATGAGGGCGGAGTCGACCAAGTGAATATTTAGAAATATTGGTTGTAAAATGGACAATAGCAACTCCATAGAAGAAGAGAATCAGAAGCCGCAGGCATCTTTTCAGCCATTCCAACCATAATGTTTTTATATCTTGCGTAACATTTCTATTTTCCCCTTGCTGTTTCCTTCTGAACAATAATATCACATATTCCACTAAAGCGATCTAAAATAGAGAGTTTTAAAATAGATATCTGTATTTATAAATTAGTTCAAATTTTTCTCAAATAAATAGTTACAACACTTTAATGAATCATTAAAAGATAGCCACACACAGCAGGGAAATCCACTCACATTGCAGCTATGTCTTACTTACCATATTCGAAAGGAAAAGATACCTACAAGAAATCTGATCTCTGTTGTATTTAGAAGCTTCTATACGTAGCCTCTAACGCTTTCACAGGGTTTTCGGGAAAATGGGGCAACTCCAGAATAGGGTTTGTTTGTACTCTTGTGACCCAAATTCTTCACTAGATATGAAACAAATCCATTAATAAAGACTGTAGCCTTCATCATGATGTTCACAATGTTTTGGCAAAAGGGGCATATCTCTGCAATGAAAAGTAGCAGAATGCTGAATATTAACAGGATTTTTTCTACAGTCAGAGGCCATAATCCAGGAAGTTACGGTCCGACATGCAAGAATATCAAAAGGAACTGAGGTCTTTGGGATATAAACACGTTTAACGTTTCATTAAAATCAGATCAAAATTGTGACCTCAAGAGGGTCCACAACCTGAGTATTACATACTTTTACACAATTTGCGTTCAAGTAGCGTCCATTTTGTCCAGAAGTTTTGGTCAGATTTTCACGAAATTCGGACTCAACCATCATTATGGTGTAATGGAAAGATTTTGGTTCCTTTCGATATGGTTGAGTTCGAATTTCGCACTATATTTTTGGCTAGTGGTCCCTCCAGCTCCAGAGGTCACAATTTTTAACCAATTTAAAAAACCTATGTTCCAAAGTCTTGACCAATCAAATTGCTTATCGCTCCTTAGCCTAAGCAGAAAATTCTCATCATCAAACTTAGTCAAGGTAATGATATAATGAATCTATACTCTTCTTAGTTTCATCGCTCTCACTTAATTATAACCAAAGTTATCGTGCCCCAAAGCATCAACCAATCAGAGTTATTGTGTACCAAAGTCTCGGCCAATCAAATTACTTATCGCTCTGCTTACCCTGAGCAGAAAATGCTCATTATCGAACTTAGTCAAGGTATTGATGTAATGAAATTATACACTTGTAGTATATTTAGTTATAAAACTGTATAAATCTCTCAGTGACATTAACATTTCTTTTCATTAAAAGTACACTGCATTCCATAATATACAACCTGACATAACTCTTTTGTAATAGAGATGAATAAATATCACTTCCTGTTCTGACTTCCATCCATGATTCCATGTTGTTTCCTGCCTAATTTATGAAAAGCCTTACCATTCAAAATCTACAAACATCACAACACTAAGTTTCATCACTCTCACTTAATTAGAATTAAAGCTATTGTGTCCCAAATCATCAACCATCTCTGCTTACCCTAAGCAGAAAATGCTCATCTTCGAACTCCATCAGGGCATTGACTTAATAATAAACACCCACACCAAGTCTTGCTGTCATAGGCGTACGGGGAAATTTTTGACTGGGGGGGGGGGGGGCGGTGGTGGTTGGTGCCCAAAAAATGTAGTTAGGTTCTTAGTATGTTACATAATAATAATAAATTCGCTGTTAAATTGGACACATTCAAGAACGCAATATTATTTTATACAACTTATACAACCCATTTTAATAGTCCCCTGCTTTCTTCAAAATGCGGGGGACAATAAAATATTAATTCAGATACTTACTGTGACGAAAGGTATTATGAAGGATACACTGTAGAGTAAGGCTGCATTTATAGTACTAGATTTATATGGATGCATTAAACTTTGATCATCACAAAAAAATCCTCTATAAACAGGCTGAATGGTTTGCCTCAAAACTATTGATGTTACTCCAACTAAATTGAAACATAGAAAATTAAAAAATTAAGGAAACTTGAATGAATGAAAAGGTGATTTCAACTTAAGAGACTATTTTTTCTGCATTTGATTTCCAACTGTCAACGGTTCTTTTACATGCATGCCAACATGTACACTGGACTTCGTTTTTTTGTCCCATCTGAGTGACTGAACACTTTTCTTTGACAGGCCCTCTGTCATACATCAAGGGGAAACCACGCTGGAAAACTTTACCGGCCAACACAAAGATTGAAACCCGGACCTCCTGGTTTGTGAGCTAGCAAATTAGCTCCTGAAGGATGCTTGAACTTGTAATCTTTCGGCTAACACTGTTATGAATTCAAAACATAAAACATTTCTTTTCCAATGCATCAAAGATATCATTATACTCTGAAATTGCCCACAAAGTCATTGATCAAATAAGTAAACTACTTTTATTGTCCTGGCTCGGTTGGGATGCAGGGTTTGTTGTATATATTTCTCTTTTACAGCGAATCCTTGTATTTTCCTGTTCTATATGTTAAGATGCTTGGAAAAAATCCAAAGTTTCGCTGTAAAGGAGAGATGTACACAGACTACATATTCCTGAAGCAATGGCCCGAAAAATCCCTCTCTGGCCATTGCTGGATTGACTTCTGATACTTGAGCTTTTAAGGGAGTGTGTCTATTCTTCCCGTTCAATCAAATCTTTCCGAAGTATAGTAACATGACAGCCCTTAATTTAAGCTTGGATCTTCCCTAAAACTTTGGACAGTGATTTAAGGTATTAAACAGGGTGAAAGTATTGTTCGTCTCCAAACAGTATTGTTTACATGGTAGCCGTTTTGACATCCTCGGTTACCCAGTGTACTCATTCCATTCTACTCCGCTATACCCTGGGTTAATCCATAGGGTTTCCACCAATTCAATTTATCTGCCCTGGCCTAGGATGTACATGTAGCTACAGTCTACGAACCAATCAGAAAACAGTTTACAAACCAATCGTTTTTATAAGGGTAGATAACCATACTCACGTCCATTTACTGAATGATTTATGTAAATAATGTATATATTTATAATTTATTTATATTTAATTGTATTATCAAAATCTGTAGTATGTGTTGTTGATTTCAAATATGTATAACATCTACATGTATGTGTTTGACTTTTGTTATTATTATTACTATTCATTCTTTGTCTGAAATATGTCATTCTGTTATGTTTATTATTATTGAACTTATACTTGGCAATTTGATTCACAATGAATTGTCTGCGATATCACCTCGGTGGAAGCGGACGTAAAATACAACTAACTAACAACAATTCACAATAACTTGTCTACCATATCACGTGGACATAAAATTCCGGGAACTAACGAACGATTCTAAATAAAACTAATGACCCTACATTATTATATGAACGTCTGGTCTTCATTAACATAATATATAATTGGTTGTTAATAATTACGCATTTAGAATAGGCCAACTCCTAACATTGTCCGCTGAGAGTTACTTCCCTTTGCTAACTTCCTTTTCAAGTAACAATTTATGGGATTGGTTGATAAAAATAGCACAATCATCAAGGGCGGATAACTTGAAAACGTGTCTCCCTCCCCCATAGATTAACCCAGGGTATAGTGGAGTACACTGGGTAACCGAGGATGCTGTTTTGATAGCCTCGTTTTTCACCCACTGGTTAATTGGGCGTAATAAATTTCATGAGTCATGACGTAACGTTATATAAACAAATTTGGAGCTTTGTTTAAAGGACAATATTGGTGTCAGTCATTATTACATATGTGATAGAACTGGTTAAATACATTCCAAATATAATTTTAACACAAAGATCATTGCTACGGGAGATGAGTAACAAGCACGGGAAGAAACGTGAATTATATGAACGTCTGGTCTTCATTAACATAATATATAATTGGTTGTTAATAATTACGCATTTAGAATAGGCCAACTCCTAACATTGTCCGCTGAGAGTTACTTCCCTTTGCCAACTTCCTTTTCAAGTAACAATTTATGGGATTGGTTGATAAAAATAGCACAATCATCAAGGGAGGATAACTTGAAAACGTGTCTCCCTCCCCCATAGATTAACCCAGGGTATAGTGGAGTACACTGGGTAACCGAGGATGCTGTTTTGATAGCCTCGTTTTTCACCCACTGGTTAATTGGGCGTAATAAATTTCATGAGTCATGACGTAACGTTATATAAACAAATTTGGAGCTTTGTTTAAAGGACAATATTGGTGTCAGTCATTATTACATATGTGATAGAACTGGTTAAATACATTCCAAATATAATTTTAACACAAAGATCATTGCTACGGGAGATGAGTAACAAGCACGGGAAGAAACGGGAAGTGATGCCAAACATGACAAACACGAGTTATCCTTCTATATAACTGATTGAAGTAACGAGGGATAACAGACAAACAATCTAATTTCATTTCACTGATAATTCCGCTGAAGTTGAAAAGTTATTATATGGGACGGTGAGAGGGTATCTCACAATTCAAAATAGAATTGGCTGTCACTATATATGGGAAAACGAGAAAAATAGAAAAATCCCGTGCATTCTCCCGTTTTTATTTATTCTGCTCTTAATAAAAACATGGTAATGCACGGACTTTTTCTAATTTGTTCGTTATCTTTTATCTACTGACAGTCAATTCTAGTTTTGAATTGTCAGATATCCTCTAACCGTCTCATATAATAACTTTTCATCTTCAACGGAATTATCAGTGAAATGAAATTCGATCGTTTGTCTGTTATTGCTCGTTACTTCAATCAGTTATATAGAAGGGTAACTCGTGTTTGTCATCACTTCCCGTTTCTTCCCGTGCTTGTTACTCATCTCCCGTAGAAATGATCTCTGTGTTAAAATTATATTTGCGATGTATTTAACCAGTTCTATCACATATTTTATAATGACTGACACCAATATTGTCCTTTGAACTCAAATGATATTGTTACGCAGTTAGGTATTGGTTGTCAATCGGACTATTGTCTATTGACCAGTCATATTTTGGAACAGAAATTTGTTTTCTTTAAGCCAGTGTTGAGTGGAATTAGGTCTAATCAAACGAAACACTGCGAGGAGCATGCACAGACCCCTACCTACATGTAATAGAAAGCAAAATGTGGTTCACGTGGTAATATAAGGAAATGTCTATTTTACTCTGTCCAATTTTTTTTAACCAATTTGAGTATGCACCGCCCAACAATACCTCCATTAAGCACTTGTGTGGAGTTGTCTAAATTTGCTTCTTTGAGGTAGCTCCACCCAACCCACATGGAGCCAAAACTCAACTTTATTTTGAATAAATCTGAATAAGCAGCACCACCCAAGGAACATTGCATGTACCTACATGTACATGTAACAAATTTTGTTGAAATCTCTGTAAATATTCTGAAGAAGATGAAAATGTAATCATATAATAACGGTTAAAAGGGTGGACCTATTATTTACATGTATACTTTAGGCGTTGGCCTATTTTCTTTCTAGAACATTATCCTGGTTGGTGCAAATCAGTACAACATTCATTTCATTTCTACTCTGTGTGTATGATGTTACACCACATTTCAATTATTGGCTGCTTTAATCTAGCTGATAGGCTACATTTATCTGCACAGCTGTACTATCCAAAAAATGTAGGCCAATAAAATAGCAATAAATTATATGGGCCCATCAAACAAATATCCTTAACTTTTAACTCCTATTATAATCAATAGCCACACCCATGGCAATGCATGTACTGATTGAAATTTGCATTTTCAAATTTAACTGTTATTAAAGATTTAATATATTTAGACTGTAAATACAAGATTTTCAATAATTCTGATTTTGATATGACTAAGACTTACTATGACTACTTTGAGTACAAAAAAAATAAAATAATAAACAGAAATATAACAAAAAAGTAGGCATATTCCCCAAAGAAATAAATTGTAGATTGTAACAGTTGGCCTATTTTTCTTTGAAAATAAATTATACAGAGTTATATCTATGTAACCCAATGGGACAAAATCATTAACAAACAGCCACAGAAGTAGAAAGTTTTGACAACAGATAGGCCTGTGCAATAACAAGATTGAGATCGAGAGACACTGCCACTAATACTTACTAAATAATATCAAGAATATATCAAATGCCGGTTGGAATAATGTAAACACCATATTTTCCATCGTGTTCGAAGAGAAATCATCTATGTAGTGTCAAAAATTTTAAGAGAGAAGACACTATTTCCGTACACACTCAAATCACTTCAACTTTGATCTTCATACTATAGACCTACTTTCCCTTCCTTGTTTACATAGCAAAATGCGCATGCGCCAAAAAGAGGAAACGGTTCTCTTTTGGGGCTTGTCTACCACGTTGTTCAAATTTTATAAAAGTCAATTTAAATCTAAGATTTGAGCATTTATTCGAAGGTGTCATTTAAAACAATGAATAATTTTATAAGCAGGAGGGTGAGCGCATGTAGAACATACGAAAGTTTAATTTGTACTTAAAACTGTTATAAATTAGATCTAACTTATAAAATAATGCAATATGTTGAATAACTTCAACTTCAACTTTTTTATTTGCATATTACGTCCATTAAGAACATTATACAAAACATACGCATACATCAATATCAGGTATACAAAAATATATATTTTACATGGAATAATATATTGGCATAACATGATATAATGAAATGAAAATTCATATACTTTTGGGATGATATAATGAAAAAAAAATATAACAATGAAAGTATAACAATGAAATGAAAATATGTTCAAAGTTTACATGTATAATGATCAAATAGACTAGGCAGATGTCCCCCTTTCCTTAAAAGCATGGTATGTATACATTGCTACTGCTTTAGCAAGAAAATCTGGCGGATTAAAAAGAAGCGCAAAGGTTAATTGACAAGGTTGTATTAAAGTAGGGTAGATATATTTTAAGCGCAAGTTTTCATATCTTGGACACCTGAACAGAAAATGGAATTCATCTTCTACGGTAGAAAGAGAACATTGGGTGCATAACCTTTGGTCAGGTGGAATATTTTTGTATCGCCCTCTCTCTATTTCCAGTTTGTGTGAGTGAAGGAGTCGAAGCGATGAAAAGGCGGATTTAGAATTTTTATTTTTAACCTGCAGAAGGTAACCAGCGGGGTGGTTTATTAAGTTTTTATACAGACCATACGTTCTCAGTTTGGTTCCTGATTTAGTTAGTTCTGCAAAATGATGGTTGAATTTAGTTTGAAGTTTTAGTTTCATTGCTGAGGGAGAGGGGTTATGAGGGAGATCATAATATTCATATAATTTTGCTATGGATGCTGTCCAAGAATATTTAATGTTATTGTTTGCAATGAGGTTGCTATCGGTAATGAAGGCAGAACGTAAAAGAACACTTTTAGGAAAACTGTCTATACTAGAATTAGTAAGGCGTTTATAATAGGAGATCATTCTTTGAAATATGTCAAGGTTAGCTGGGAAAATACCCAATTCTGCTAGACAACCAATTTTGGATGTTCTTGATGGCTGTGCTAGTATTGATTTGCAGATTTTAATAGTTAGTTTATTATGATTAATTTGGTCCCATTTATTAATTTCAAAAATTTTGCTGTGTACCAAACTAGATCCCCAGATATCGGATGCATATATAGCTATCTGCTTGACAACGGATTGGTATAATTTGATCAGAACATCAGTAGGAAGAAAATCGGTAGTACCAATTTTATTGCACAAACAAAACCATGCACGTCTAGCCTTACTATTAAGTTTGGTGATTGCAGACTTTGAACGTAGAGTTATTGGAATGGCACACCCCTAGATAAACGTATGATTTAACTATTTCAAGATTAATATTGCCAAAATGAAATATGTTCTTTATTTTCCTTTGATTATTTTGGATTATCATGATTTTTGATTTTGTTGGGTTAAGGTCAATCTGCCAATCACCGCAAAATTTATTAAGTTGGTCAAGACTACTTTGTAAGCCAGTTTCAGTAGTGGAGAGCATGATAAGGTCATCCGCAAACAGCAGGTGGGAGACATTATTAGATTCTAGTGAGGGAGGATTTGTGTTCGCATTATTAATATAAAACTGTAAATCGTTAATATAGATATTAAATAGTACAGGGCTTAACACACATCCCTGTTTCACACCCATGAAAGAGTTTATTGTATTGGAGATTCCCTTGGGAGTTTTCACAGTATAAGAAGTATTTGAGTACATGGATGTAATTAAATCAAAAATCGGTCCGTTGATGTTAGTTTTTAGTAATTTATAAAAGAGGCCTGTTCTGCATACAGAGTCAAAGGCTTTTTTAAAGTCCACAAAAGCCATGAACAAATTCTGTTTCTTACACTTAAATATGTTGATAATCGTTTTGAGTATGAAAATATTATCAACTGTCCGATGATTTTTACGGAACCTGCCCTGTGCCGGGTCAAGTAAATTGTTGTCTTCAAGGTAATTTGTTATTCGATTATTGATAATAGACAGAAAACACTTGCTGAAGCAACTGGACAGCGAAATGCCACGATAGTTATTTAAATCATCCTTACTGCCCTTTTCGTGTAGTGGAACAATATATGATTCCATCCAGGACGCTGGATAGCAACCCGTCATTAAAATTATATTGAACAATTTTAGGAACTGATCAATCATAATTTCGGAGGAAGATATTAACATTTCATTGAGAATCATATCAGGCCCATTCGATTTTTTTTTTGTTTTTAGTTTTTTTACAGCTTTTCGAAGTTCATTTGCAGAGATAGGCTCATTCAGGTTGGTATTAATAGGCTCTTGCTTAAGTTGTTCAATTTTTTCAAATATTTCAGAGAGTTTGGACTGATCATGTTTTTTTTTCGAAAAGTGTGGTAAAATGATTTTCCCACGCGTTAATGGTTATGTTATCACCCCCATCTGGTTTGTCTTTAAGAAGGGAATTGACAAGTTTCCAGTATTCACGCGGGTTATTGCTATCAAGATCATCAAGTTTTTCTAATATTGCATTTTTAGCCTGTCGCATTTTGTATTTAGTTGTTTTCTTATAATCTTTCTTTCTCTTATAATATATTGACCGCAGTTTGGAGTTGTTTGGATTATTATTTAATTGTTCTAGAGCCATAAGCATATCTCTTCTCAACCTATTGCAGTCTCTGTCAAACCATTTATTCTTTTTATTACATTTTTTTAATTTAACAAGTTTAACACATTGTTTTGAGGCATTGATAAGTATATTTGTAAGTTCATTTGTAGCCTCCTGGGTTCCGATGGGTTTTGGATCAAAGTCTTTCATCAAGAAATTATTGATAGCCAGTTTAGCGCATGGCTTATGTAGTTCTACCTGGAATGCTTGGTCAGAATCTACTTGCCATATAAATTTCAATGGTGATTTTCGTCGGGAGGTGACTAAATTTATATTATTATTATTACTAGTGCTAAAGTTTATATTATTATCAATAGTGCTACAGTTTATATTATTATCATTATTATTAGAGCTATCATTTATATTATTATGATTAGAACTATTATTATTAGTGCTATCAATTTTTGCATCCAGGGCCCTAACAGGCATTGTAGCATGTACGAAGACTGGGAGATTGATACGAATTTTACACACTAAGAGCTTGTGATCAGAAAGATAACTTAATGGGGCAACTCGAAAAGAGGCAATGTGGGGAAACAAAGAGAGACTAGTCAAGACATAGTTCACAGTACTACACCCATTGTAATTTACGCAAGTAAGCTCACCAAGCATGTCAACTAGTGACCTACCATTTAAGATACAGATGTCTGATACCTGACACAACTGTACAAGTTCTCTGCCCCAGCTGTTTATTGTTTTGTCTTTATTATTGCGAATTTTGATGATATCTGCAGTGGTCTCGGAAGCGCCTATTTGCGGACACGGTACATCAACCGACTTCTCTATATCCGGAATGAAAATATCCTCCAGGTTGTTGGTGCGCGCATTAAAGTCACCCCCAATCATAACCTGTCTCAGATTTTTATATTTCATTATATCTTCCTCCAGAGTACTATAGGGGTTGTAGTCTTTTTTTTGCCAAACTGGTGAATTTTTCGGAGGAATATAAATAACTGCCAAATAGAGATCAAACGGTAGTTGTGTAACAGATTTTTTAAATTTTAAGCCAAACAATATCACCATCCTTTGTGTCGAGAATTTGAATACCGCTTATAAGTTTGTTTCTAATGAAAATGGCACACCCACCCTTTGGGAGTGTTCTGTCGGAGCTATCCCCATCTCTATGATAAACAAAACCTGTATATTCATCAAATATATTATTAAATATTTGCAACTGAAATTGTTCTTGACTAGTCCAAGTTTCTACAAAACAAATAATATCTAAACTCTTTGTCACATTTTTTAGATCCTTAAAATTACTCCTATTGTTAACTTTCGCAGGAAGGCCATTAATTATTCCAAAAACCAAATTGTAAATCCATGAAATTACCATAAGTTACATGATTACCTATAAATAACAATGGGAATAAATATATAAAAAAAAAAACAAAAAAAACCCCCAAAACAACAAACAAACATTGACAGATATCAGAGAGATGAAATTACACGTGCAAGTATACACCAGCAATTAGCGTGCACAGAATTAGTTTACATCAATAAGATAATTTAATTTACATATCCTTATTACACTGTTTTTGCTGTACACATTTACACAAGAGGTAAATCTGCCTATTGCAGGTCTTTCTTAAGGCTCAAAATATTACCTAGATTATTAATCAGACATTAATTAACACAACAAGACCATAATCAACTTTCAATGCCATTGCTAGCCTATGATATTTAGCAGATTGGAATACATTTTTGAAAAATAATTAAATGTACATATATATGGATAATTAAGACTTTGTTTTCTGTCGTAACGACTCCAGCAACGCTGACCACGGCCAGTCCAAAATCCAAAAGCTAACACCTCAGCTTAGCAATCTGACATATAAATATTCCTAATAAACCTGTGAATAAGCACTTTTGATCAAATTGATTGTAAGGCACTTAGATTGTAAGGCACTTCATGGATTGGCAAATTCCTATGATAGTCTAAAGCATTTGGTTTATACTATTTATAGACACAAAACGGGTAGCACTACAATTAAATTAGACACAAATAGCACTATAATTAATTAATTTAGACATATTTGGCACATTAATAAGTAGTTTATAAATACAAGTCATAGATTTACAATGTAACATGTAATTATCTAACAATCACAAGTTGGTATTGTGTATTTAAGCATACAATATTTAATTAAATACATGTACCATTCATTATCTGTATATTTTATCATCACTTCTTGTGGGCTGAAATCTTAACTTAGGTAAAAAAACGTTGTGTTGTGAAGTGGAAAGGCAGTGGGAGCATGGGGAGTGACAGTAGGGGCGGGGGGCACCTTACATCAGGAAGCTGGAAGTTTTGATACGGTGCTGGCAGCCTAGAAACTTCCGACCCGTTTGTAGTATTATTCCATATGGGTAGATTAAGACTAAGAGCATGTTTAATCACTCTTGCAAGAGTAGCCGTACCTTTGTTATTGAGGTGGGTTGAGCCATCATACAAGTACCGTTTAACTGAGCTGTCGTTATACACAAATAGGTTGAGTG